ATTCCCATTTTGATGGGAAATTGACGGATCAGACATTGTTATCGCAGAATGAGAAGGTCAAGTGGTCGCGATTCGCTTCACTTGGACCGCGATTGTGTGAACGTGACTTTATGAGTGCGCACTGCGCAGGTCCTGTCAAAGACTATTAGTTGCCGACTAATTTACAGTTGAATAGTTTCACGGTTTCTCACGACTGTCATGTGTAGGGAATTTGGCACTTTCTTTTCTACTTGGTTAGGTTTCTTTTGACTGGGTAGGTACAGCTTAATTAGGTACAACATAGGTACCTAAGGTAAGGTTAAGTAAGTACCCTTACCTATATCATCAATATGGTAATAAATAAAATAGATAGTAGATAGGTACCTACATTAGGACAAGCCCTTTTATCGTCATTAGCCAAGGAAGTAATAAAAGGATTAACACCTCAGTGACAGCTGCTGCAGACATTTTTTTTAATCAGGTAGGAAGGCACTTCTATATGTTTTAGTATCTCTATGTAGATAGCTAATAGACAAGTGCCCTGGTCAAACTTTGGGTCCATCTGATTATCACGCTCTTTAGTTAAATAGACAATAATGTAGCCTGTTTTTAGAACATACTTAGTTACAACAGCTACTAACCAAATGGTTGCATTAATTAGCACAAAAAACGAACTAATAAAATTCAAACATAATAAGACCAAGCATTAGCAAACTAAACGCAATGAATTATTTACAGTCCATTACATGCAGTCTGGACAAAAAAAATCTTAAAAAATCGCCGTTAACTTTATTCATACCTCAAGAGGCTCCTTTCATTGCCTACCTTCGATTATGAAAGAATAAAAAAAAACTATTGATCGTGAACAAACGCGCGCCACTTGAAAATCTTTTGTCCGCCATATTGGAAAACGTTTTGACATGTGCACTAACGTGTTTTAATTTATTTATGTGTTCTGACATCGTGGGTAAGCACAGTTAATCACATTGATATAGGTAGTAGTACCTAGGTACTTATTTGTAGATTTAATTATTTTTTTCTTTGTATGGATTCATCAAAGGTCCATATTTTGCAGATATTTTCACTTTCACTAGAATAAATTGCGAACTGAAATAAAAATACTCGAACGAAAATATAAAGAAAAATATCTTGGGCTAATCTTAGATAGTAACCTGACCTGGAAAGCACACATTGAAAAAATTAAACTTAAACTAGGCTCACTTTCAGGGGCCCTGCGCAATATATCAAAATGTCTCCCGCAAAGAGTTAAATATCTAATTTACAATTCTTTAATTAAACCTCATATAGATTATCTCATTGAAATTTGGGGCACTGCATGCAAAACTAACGTAGATCAAATTCAACGAATTCAGAACAGATTAATCAAAACCCTATTTAATTATAAATATCGGACACCTACTGAAAAATTATACCAGAGCACAAGGTTAATGAATATAAAACAAACATATGTATACTACACATGTATTTTAATACGTAAAATATTAAATAAGGAAATCCATTCAAACTTAATTTTTTTAACAAAACAGCAAACACGTAAAATAAATCTTAGACGTGTGAGTTACTTAGTAACCCGTCCCCCTAGAACTAACTATGGAAAAAGAAGTCTGGAGTTCGAAGGTATTAAATTATACAATAGACTACCATCAATGATAAGGCAAGAAAAAAGTTATGTGCGGTTCAAAAAATTACTTAAAATTAATATAATTAATAACTACAAATTATGAATACTTGTAAGTATAATTAAAATATTGACTAGTGTTTACTCCTAATAACGTAAAAGGCAAATTCTAAATAGTTTAAATTAAATACCAAGTACAATAGTAAAATAAAACAAGTACATTAAGACGTATAAACTATGCCATCAATGCCACATCTAGTAAAAATAGTTCATGTATCAAGTCATTGATTAACTTATTGGTTTACCCACATTTACTTCATATTTTTGTTATAGTTTACTGGTCTGCCCGTGTTGCTTGATTCTGTTATTTGTGTATATTTATCACTTTACTCACATTTTTAAATAGTGAACATTTGTATTTGTTCTTTTGTATTGTTTTTGTTTATATTATTATGTACGTACTACTGTGCGCTCTAAATTGTTTACTTTTGTATGAAATATTGTTTCTCAGTAAGTGAATTATGTATATGATTCTTTATGAGAAATAAAGATATTCTAAACTGAAATTGCGAACTGCAAATTGGTAGCCTGACTCCCTGTGTTGCAATTTGCTGACCATTCGATTTGCAACCTCTTTACTTACGGAGAAAATATATGTCTCTGGCCGTATTGTGACAAAAAAATTAGAAACACCATTTGCGATTTCTTTTTAAATGTTTTTTTATTTATTTAATGGCTGCGGGTGGATTATTGCGTGTAAACCAGCTTGTTTGTTTTCTTAATAAAAACTTTTTGCTATGTGAAGATCACAAGAATCACAATTTTCAAATTAAAACTGAATCAAAATAAGATCAATAAAAACAAGCAAATAGATTTGTTGAAATATATTTATTATTTCTTTTTGATTGGTGCCGAATCATTTTTATACAAAATTAATCTTAACGATTAAACCACATTATTGCAATCAGACAAAAAGGTCATCATTCATTCATTAAAGAATACACGTATTATTTTGGAAACGTAATACTTTGCACACATCTGTGGCAACAATAATTATGAACAATAAATAGGTACGGGTGCACGGTAGAACACCGCAAAGTCTGCGAATCAGTTCAATCAATATCTACAAAATACAAAAGATTTAATATTGAGATATTGTTTCATCACTTCCCGATAAGTTCAGTTAGTAAGATAAACTAAATACATAATTTGTAATGTGTCAAATAGACTAAAGGACACTTAATCGACAGTGATGAAACCGGATCTCATTAATTTATTAATTCAATAGTTCTATTCTTTCTAATTGTTGACATTATGTCATATTTTCAGGGCATCTTCGCCACACAATGAGCAAGTAGTTGGCTCATGAGTTACCAACCAATAGACATACCAAAATATATTTAAAGTACAAACAAAACGTCAACTTTTAGGATTTTATAAGTGTCTTTATCTGAAGATCCCTAATCAAGCGCGGCCCTATAATATTACTATGATGACATACAGAGTATGTAAAGAAATATTACATTTTAGTGTAAATAACAGTCTTACTCATACATTTAACACGTTGACTGTGCGTGCATTCATTGCCTCATCGAATGCAACATAAATGGACTAGATGTAAAACATCTTAGCACTTTTTATATGAAATATAAAAATATATAAGTCGATCAACTAGAGTCCAAGCATTTTAATATTTATAACCGACTTCAAAAAAGGATGTGGTTCTCAATTCGACCGTATATATGCTTTTTTATGTTTGTTCGCCGATATCTCCGTTATTTATGAACCGATTTCGATAATTCTTTTTTTTGTTTCTTTAAAATGACGTTGAATACACTAGGATCTTTTCCTATGTAGGGGGTGCGTTTACAAACATACAAGTTCACATACACATGACACCCAGGCCCGGAACAACAATTTGTGGATTACACAAAGTGTTGTTCCGTGCGGGAATTCAACCCGCGACGCATTGCACGGCAGCCGGTTGCCCAGCCATCGCACCACCTGTGCAGTCAACCTAATAATGCAATTTATGTGCGCGGTAACAACTGTATTTTATTAAGTTTTTCTATAACAGAGAGCTTTTTAAATAATTATTAACTTTAACAAAGTTATTTCTTAAGACTTAGCATTATGCATTCGGACAGTCAAGGAGTTAACATCTTCCCAATTTCTAGATAACAGTGACCCACCCACAGTCACACAACAAGACAATAGTCCCTTATCGAAGGTACAATGTCAGAAAATGTTTTAACCCCTCGAGCGTCCTTATGAGCACCCGGTGCTGCTTTCTCTTTTATAAAATCTATTATTAATGTTTTGATTTTATTTTTACCGGAATTAGTATTTCTATTGTAATGATCCTTGTTTTCGTGTGCGAATGGCCAAATAAATGCATTTCTTTCTTTATTTCTTTCTTTCTCCAAACGTCACGTGTGCACCCGTTGGATCATAAGGAACGCGGACGCTCGACGGAAATTGAGTGATTACCATTTAGTTTTAGTGGCATACTAATGACAAAGTAAAGTCAAAATGTCGTACTCAGACACATTTAATGGTTGCTTAAACTATTCCTTAGTGATTTTGTTTCGAAAACAAACGCTAAGAGTTAATTTAAGTAATCTGTAAATGACTGAGTACCGAAGTTCGTTATTTACTGCGTAGACTTCAAAGTTACAATATGGCGACGTCAGTTAGTTGGGTGTAAACAAACCCAGTTTTCCGAAACAGGGTTATTTTAAAAAATATTAACTCGAATGTTTTACGATTACACGTATATTTATTAACTTATAGAATCTATTATTTTCTCTGATAAAGATATAGTAAATACGATATTAATGTTTTAAAAAGTAACCCTCCATACAAATAATATAAGTTGAATTCCGTGGTTCGCCATATCTACTAGATTTGACCAATTCAAACATAACGGTGAGCGATCAAACCAAATGCAGTAATCGTAAAAGAATCATAAATACGTATTTATTTATATTTCATAAATCAAGCACCTGGTACAAGCTACCAGTATTTTTGTCATAAAACGTATTTTCTGTAAATAACGTATAATATTTTGTAATTTAGCCATCATTTCATATAACACAAGATATACAAATACATTGTAGTCGACTGAAATAAATCATCTTTAAAAATGTGATACATAGCATAGTGATGCTAGATTTGAACAAATGTGATATTGCATTGGAACTAATCTTGGCTATTTTTACTATTTCCTCAAAGTTTATTTTTGTTGCCTATGCATACATTAACTTATATTTACCGCGAGTGCAACGGGAGCGTCTCAAATACTGTCACTCTGACAGATTTCTTACCAATACAACGTCTATTTTCTCATTACTTACAATTTATTATAAAAAATATAATTATTTTAGTTCCAGGACCTGCCATGTTGTCTCCTATCCCTATTATATCTACTCCTCGGGTCTCGTGATCCTTCTGCGCTGGAATACCCTTGATTTGGAGGTCTGTATCCGTGTCCGCTACTGATAGATCCCGCGTTTCTATCTCTTGGCTGATTCGATTGCTGTGATTGGTATCCTTGGTAATTGCTGACGAAATTAGAATTGCGCTGGTACTTGTTTATAGGTCGGTTGTCCTGGTTGGACTGGTGACCTTGACTCGACTGGTAGCCTTGGTTAGACTGGTGACCCTGGTCCTGCTGGTATCCGCGGCTGTTCTGGCTATAGTCCTGGTTTCTCTGCCCATAGTTACGGGGACCCTGGCTATAATTACGGTTGTAACCCCCGCCTTGTTCCTGCCCCGTCGAACTGTAACTACGTCCTTCGGCTTGGTTCTGATAAGGAACGTATCCGCCAGGTCGTGGTCCGAAGGACTGTGACCGATCTGAAACAAACAAAATGTCATTATATAAATATTTGCTTTGAAAGCTTTTGTTTTCACAAATACTTTAGTGACAGAAGTGAGTTAAAAATATGAACATGAAGTAGTCTTTAACAATATTAGTATATTGTATTCAAAGAGTTAATTTATATCAATCTAGCAGACTTTGTGATGAGTAAATGAGATGACATTTCCAAATGATCCGACGATATAACCGCGCTTTACTTTAGAGCTTTAGTGGGAGAATCAAGCGCCATCTTTTATCCGACACTTGCGTGAATATAAACGTTCCCTTTGAGCACAAAACTCGTGTATTGCGACACTCGGCTAAAAGTCGCTGCGACGCGCCCCGCGCGAATCGCACCTCGAGTGTTTAATCGCTCGCTTTGTCAAGATGTAATGCCGACTGCGATAATGGAAAACTGGAAGAGAACCCGCGAAAGCTGTCACACTATATTTAATGCAATTTCGATATATTTATTGTTTTACAATTACTGTAAGAACTGGAGGATATTGCTTATAATGTGTCCCTACAATCAGACGTCATATTTTTTTATAGTTATGCAATGTTATCGACATACTACTTAATATTATATTTTACTTTAGTTTCTCACCATTACTATCTTTCATTTGACGCGCCAATCACATAATGATTAATCGACCAATCCAATATTGTTATCCACAACACTATGATTGAACCATCCCAGCAAAGAGAAGGGTAGAAATGCAATTTTTTAAGGATTTTCTATAGGCACATCCAGTGAGAATAAATCGAGAAAATCTAGGCTCCCATAATCCTTGCAGGTCTAAGTAACTGTGAGCTGTTCCGTACATCAAAAAAATTTGGTGTAAAGAGATTGCGGAGCAGAAGAGTGGCTCAAAGCGGCCTCTAGCGGCTTAGTATCTTCGCAAATAGATTACGAGTATTTACATATTGCATTGAGTGTACCTTTGATATCTCGTAGGTATTTAAACACTTGAAACTTTTTGTAGCAAGGTTTGTGTGAAGTGTGGAGATTGGTGACGATTTATGAGCAGTTTGAAGTATAAAGTGAAATCGAGCACGTGTACTACTAATAAACAGTAGCGTATAATATTTAAGTGCTTCAACAAAAAATCGAAATACAACAGTTGAATACTGTTTGAGGGACAGACGGTATAATAAAATTAAGATTTCGAACACCCTGCAGCACGACTCGAGAATATACCTAGGTACTAGGGACATAATTTCCATGAGCATAGTCTATTTCTATTTGTACCTGTCACACGTAGCAGTGCTGGCATTAATAATGGCGGGATCGTGGAGAGCGTAACGACGCGTCGCCATTAGCCGCCATTGTTGGGCCCTGATGGCGCCCAACGTGGGGCACGAACACGCTATTAATTCTAAGTATATGATTGTGCGGGTGTTTGTGCGTACTGCCTCAAATTGCTCGTACCCATTGTATACGAGTTATAAGGGAGGTTCGAGAACGACATAACTATATTATAATCTTAGATTTGGAAGATCAAGACTTGATGTAATTCTTATTCTTAAGATTATAACAAGACATCTTGTTGTAATCTTAAGTCTTCTTAAATAAGAATTAGTCTTCCATTAGACAATACATTAGTTTTAAACGTGTTATCAGAACGCTTTGGATAATTAATTTTGTCTCTTTTAATATTGGTTCATTTTGAGATGTTTATATGAAAATTGTACCTCCTAGCCCATTAGGTTTGAATTGTCCACAACTGTAAGTTACTTAAATTTTTAAGTAAAATAAGTATTTTACATGTTTTACTAATTTTAATTACCGTTGCTACAAAGATGGCTGCCGAAATACCAGCTATCTTAAAAGACGCTAACGCGCTGAGGGCGGTGAGACTGTCAAAATTCTCCTTTCACGAGTTTCGCCACAAGATCTTTTCATACAAACCCGAAACTTTCCGTTAAGGTCCGACACCACTGTGGTGTAACAAGCGAGTGAGTCATATTATGTGCACTCTTGTCGTTCTGATATACTAAGAGTTAGTTTAAAATACAATAACAGTTCAATATCCGGCTTTTCAGTATATTGCAAAGATATAAGATCCTTTGGTCTTATTGACAATACCTAATATTGTTTGAAAAGCTTCGAGATGTATAAGATTCACTTTCTTAGAACTTAGTGGAAGTTTTGATATTTTAAATTATTGTCTACTAAATTGACGATTAAGCTAATAACAACATAATTAGGACAATTTAGCTTGTAATCCAAGACTTACTTATGCAATTTTTTCTAGAAATTCAAAATGTTACGCTACATTCGGCGTCAATCTTTAACAAGAGGAGTGGTAAAAACTAAAAAATATAAAACCTCGGGTGGCTGGCAGACATAATAGGCACCTAATGGTCGCGTCGCGACACATTCAGGTGAAAGCGACGGGCGACGCCGCGCGCCTAAATTATACCACGTACGCTGAATATCTCTAGTGGCTTTGGGTATTTTGAGTGCCAACTTCTGGTACATTTTTGAAAGCTTATATTTATGGTTAGAATTGGATAGATTGTTAAACATCAGTTTCTTTCATGACCAATGAGGTTAGAAGGCGGTTAGCAAGTTTTTCATAACACTTATTAATCAACCAGTTGACAAAATGAAAAAAATATTAAATAAGAAAGCGACCTTCCTCAGAAACTCGGAACCCTTGGCAACGACCAAACGTAGAGGCGACGAATTTTTTAATAAAAGCACTCAAGCATTGAATTCGTACCTGTTCAAAAATGTCACCAGATTATTTTTAGCTGGCTTCTTTTTTGAAAATATCTTGTGTAATGTTTGTTATTTATTTTGTACAACGATGAAGATCGCTGCTGGCTACGAATGTCTTTGAGAAATAAGTTAAGTGTCAAGCAGAGACGGCGGGCAATACACCGCAAAGATATCACTCGGGAAACATCAAGTAGGCTTCAATATTTCGGATTCCGTATGCCCTGTTGAGACGTATTTTATTCCGAGTTCGGACCCATGAATATATTTACTGTACAACTTGTTAGGGACTGAGAATTATTGTTTTTTCTTGCTACTTACTTTTCCTTTATTTATTTGAGGTCTAGTAATGTGTAAACGAAGTTGTTTTGTATTATTTTAGACGAAGTTATATGCTATCTATAATTTGCAATGATCTGATTCAAACTATTGTATTGCTAGTGTTCTAACTCCGGCTAGATATATTATTGAGTGCAAGTTTTTAGTCTCTATGTATCTGTTGTAGAAATCTGAATGGTGTATAGTAATGACCAAAACTGGACCTGAAAAACCTCTATGACATAGAATGTTATTGACTTTGGTGCGGTAATATCAGCAAATGACTTCCATATTGCTAATATTAGAAACGCTAAAGTTTGTGAGTGAGTTTGTGTATATGTTTGTCAATCACTGCACGGTTGGTGCGGTGGCTGGGCAACTGGCTGCCGCGCAACGTGTCGCGGGTTCGATTCCCGCACGGAACAACTCTTTGTCTGATCCACACTTCCAAAGATTGTTGTTCTGAGTCTGGGTGTCATGTGTATGTGAACTTGTAAGTTTGTAAACGCACCCACGACACAGGACAAAATCGTAGTGTGGGGAAACGTTATTATTAAAAAAAACACATACACACGACAAAACGTCTGATGGGATCCAGATAAAATTTGGAATAGAGTTAGTTTATGATCTGGAATAACGCATAGGCTACTTTTCGTCCCAATTAAACGCGAGCGAAGCCGCTAGTTGAAACTAGTTAATTCAGAATACGAATGTAAACCATAACAAACATTTTTATAAAAAGTCTAGAACAACAATTAAACAAAAGTCTAGTGTTTCTAAAACCGAGTTCATAATGAGTGTGACAAGACAAAAATAGTTATTACGGATATAGAAAACTGTTAGGTGCGAGTCGTCCCGTTACTATCATGGTCTCTATGTATTCATATTTTAATTTAGTTTATTTATTTTATAAGTGTTGTGTTGTAAAGTTTGCTAGTATCTATGCAGTTAAAGTTGAAGTATGGTATGCAGAAAATTAAAAATAGTTGGACAAGAAACTTAAAAGACAATGTGGGCTGACACGTGTTTATACAATTTACTATTGGTTGTTAGGAATGTAACAATTCAGTGACATACACAAGACAAAGCTTTTTACATGAAAACGCAAAACATAGCCAGTGTTACCACTGCAAGAATCTTTGATGAACAGCAACACCGGCACTAGAAATTCCATTCTTAGTCAGAAAGGATAGCTTAGTATTGTGGTGATTTTATCAGGCTGAGGGAACTCTGAACGGTGAACTGGCACGTCTGGCAGGTTGCACCCTTGAGCACGCGCGGTGTGGGGGCGAGAGGGGGTGCGGGGGGTGAGGCGGGTAGGGGGGTGTACCGTGCCTCTAATTACCGCGCAGTCGGACGGCGACAATGTGGAGTGGCGCAGACGACTCGTTTATTTTCTATCTACCCCCTGATATTGTTGAGAGCGTTCGTTATGCGTGACGCGTGTAATCTTACGAGGACGCGGATATTTTTTTTGATGTGTCTGTCTCTCTTCTGTCTTCTTGGGATGGAAACTGTCACAGGTGCTTAACAAGGGAGGATGTCAAGCAATTATCGGTTAAATATATAGAGCTTTTTCCAAGATGAATACAAAATATTGGCGTCTTCTGTTTGCATGTCAATTATATGTTGTGTAAAGAGATGCTCAGTAGTAATACCAGTTTGCGTTATTTCTATGTTTCATGATACCTATTTCATACATGGATGTTTCGACTTAATTTCTAGTGAAATATCCATCCATTCTAATCACTTCATTATACTTATCTACTTGTTATCATTATCATCATCAACAGCCTAATAGGTAAGTGCCCACTGCTGAGAAAAGCCGCTTCTTATACGGATACGGTTTGAGCATTAATCACCATGCTTGCTCATTGCGGATTGGCGATTTCAAACTTTTAATTAGAAATTATAAGTCCAGGTTTCCTCACGATGTTTTCCTTCGCCGTTTGTCAGTGGCGTCTAAATAATCGTAGAAAGTACATATAACTCGGAAAAAGTCACATTGGTACTTGCTATCGGTACGTTTCGAACGTGCACCCTCATGCATGACAAGCGGGCGTCTTAACCTCGGGGCCACCACGACAACAACCTATCTATTAGTGGGTATCTACTTGTAACAGATTAATAATAGCAAAATGACTCATAGTATCAATGAAACTACATTTTCCTAATTTTCTCCTAATCTCATCTTTACCCACCTTCAACATACACCACCAAACATAGTCATACACAATTTACAAACACGTCAATCTTAAAATAAAATAAGCATGTTCAATTAAAAACCTTCCCTACTCGGGGGGTTGAAACTCATAATTGGGCCGCGTGCACTCAACCCCCTTGTTTCAAGGGAAAACCACCCTTATACGCTTACAATAGGGATTACAATAAAGATTATTTCTTTTAAATTAATTGAATTATAATTGGAAGTCTTTCAAAGTGACTTTTGATGGATTGGTGGCGTTTGAGCTATGAATTCATTGGTTTATTGATGTGCCTAGTAGACGCTAGTTATTTCTGTGTGATCATATTTTTAAGGAGTACACTATACACACTTGTCGTAGTCGCCTAGCAAGACCGGCTTTAATTTTCCGGTCGTTATTAAAGATTTGCTGAATAGTTGTGAGTAATTTTTGTACAGTGTATTATAGACAATTTTGTTTTATGGCATTAACCGGTAATCGAGCAGACGGATCACCTGATGGCAATTTGACAAGATGACAAAGCAATCGGCGTCGCCCATAGACACCTGGAACACCAAAGGCGTTACAAGTGCGTTACCGGTATTTTGGGGATTAGGAGTTTGAGGATCGTTGGGGTTTCAGGAATTAGAGAGATTGGGGAAGGGGAGGGTAATTGGGCCTCCGTTAACCTCACTCACACGACGAAACACAACGCAAGCGTTGCTTCACGTCGGTTTTCGGTGAGGTCGTGGTATCACTCCGGTCGAGCCGGCCCATTCGTGCCAAAGCATGGCTCTCCCACACTTAAAATAGGTTGGTTTAGTGATATGTGGCTCATAAAGTTTAATATCTTGTGAAAAAGGCACCATTTCATAATGTTCTTTTTTCAAGTATAAATGTCTACGGTCTCACAACACGCCTATGACGCCTATGATATCTAGATAAAGACAAAGCATTCATTATCATTTTTAATGTTTCTAAAATAAAAATATGTTTTGTAACATTATCTCTGTCTGAAATATACCATTTTGACACCACAAGACAAATTTTCCTAACAGAGATCAATAACTACACTTTAACCAACCACATTCAGTAATCGATACTTTAATACAAGTGGGTGTATTTGTTGATAGTGAAACTCGATATCCTGTCAATGAAATCGAACCTGGTATAGCCAATGTATGTAGGTATGTGTGAGAGAGACACGCGTCTTACGTGCATCTTAATATCATATTACATTATACCAGTTATTCTGTCAAGGGGTAAGTAGAGTTGGAAGGGTTTCTTCTGTGACTATTTTTCGCTAATTAGAGGGTCTATCGTTGAGCTAAGAGTTGTATTAAAAACATTCTACTTAATGATAACCTAAACATATATTATAATCTTTCAACTAACCTAAGAGTTGTGCTTAAAATGCCTTGATTAATAGTCACTACGACTATTTGTTGGTCTAACTAGCTAGTTAGACACGCATCAACGTTAATATTTTTGACAGTCTATTTTGTAAGCCAAAGTAAATACATATCCGCCTTTGAACCTACAATACGAAAGCAATATTAATCAAAAACCCATCTTCCAAAATATAACAAAAAAGATAAAAGCCCAACACTTAACAGTGCAAAATAACCCGCAGTTAAGATCACAAGATATCTTTATCCGATTATAGAAAAAAACGCTAAACCCGGTATTAGCACACCTGGTTAAAAAGTTTAAAAAAATAAAAAGAGTGAAAAAACCGACATTGTATCGGTAATCCTCTATAGGAAGCACTTGAGCTTCGATATTTAAAAAAACCGGCGCCTATTGTTGGCAACCCTCTATAATTATTATTTTCGTAGCTGGCGACACGGAGGCACACAATGGCGTCCCTACGCACTTCCTGTTTGCCCTCGCGCGCTATTAAACGTGAATGCGAGCGATTGGCCAATTTGAATTTCGAATGTCGTATAATGGAATACATTTGCCGGCTATTGGTGTGTAATTTATTTCTTTTTTTTAATAACGATGGGTAGTTATTAACTATTTAGTGGACAAGGCGATGTTTGTATACAGCCTTTGTCAGATGTTACTTTACTGTTTTGTTAGATAATTGAGGAACTAACCGGAGTTGCCTTTTTGTTGTATTTGTTTGCAAAAATGTTGTGCAAGTAAGCCATTACCTATCTTGTAATGGATCAAGTATTGTTAAGAAGTTGTATACATTTTTACTATTATAAAAGCTCTAGATCAAGGATTTATATTAAATCCAGAGTAACAATAACCGCCACAAAGTAATCTCGATTACATAAAATAACATAACATCACGCCTTTTATTCCCGAAAGGGTAGGCAGAGGTGCACATTATGCCACTGTAAAATATAACACCCACTTTTCACTATTTATGTTATGAGTCCCATGTAATAGGGGGTGAGCCTATTGCCATATACCGGGCACAATTCCAGACTCTCTGCTGCTAATCTCGATATAAACACATAACAAATCGCACGGTTTTCCGAAAGGGTAAGAACTCCACACATTAAAATACCAACACCCAATTTTCTATTATCGAGACCCATATAATAGGGGGTGCGCCTATTGTCGGTTTAAATGCAGCCCTAACAACAGCCTAAGGTTAGTTGTAGAACAATTCCGACATCACTTGACAACCGGTAGCAGTTGTAACCTCGGGGCAGTTATAGGGGTGTGCAATAAGTGAGTGAGTCGCGACCTTTGTGAGGCGATCATGTAGTTATTGTGACAGCCCTAGCCTGAGGCTACCGCTTACCTTGTTAATGGGAAATGTGATGTTTGTTGTTTTAATTTTAATTGTAGTAGTGAATTGTGGTTAGGGAAATTTAATTTAGTTATGATAAACGAAGGAAACCTTTTTGTATGTTTTTTTATCAAAAAGATAAATGCCAGTAGATTATCTGAAAGTGAATACCAACATAACATCACGCCTTTTATTCCCGAAGGGATAGGTAGAGGTGCAAATTACGACACTTAATGCCACTGCACAATGTAGCACCCACTTTTCAATATTTTATGTTATGAGTCCCATGTGTGAGCCTATTGCAATACACCGGGCACAATTCCAGACACCGTGCTACTACTGAGAATTTTTTAAAACCGAGTATTACTTTGCTCGACCCGGGAATCGCACCCGAGACCCCTAGCCCGGCAGTCGCACTTGCGACCACTCGGCCAACAAGGCAATCGAACACCAACTGTTACTACAATTTTAGAATTCAACAGATGCTGTTAAACTGGTATTTAAATGAGAAGTCATTTTGTGTCGAGTAATAGAAAAATCAGTCAAGTAACAGAAAGAGCAGATACCCAGCGGTGTGATTACAAAAAACAGTTAAAACAATCCCTTAATTTAATTGCAAAAAAGGGGCGAGATAAAACGAAGATTCAAATAATAACAACCCTTATTTCGCAATAAAAATCAGAGTCAAATCAAAATGAAACGTCAATCATTAATGCATTAACCTCCTGTAGCTCACGTGCGCTCCCTTCAGCGGCCAATTAACGAGTGACGGGGTCGGGTGGGGGGCGGGGTACGTTGGTATAAGAGGGAGGGGGGTAGGTCACGTGACTCAATTAAATCGCACGCTCGCGCCATTGTTGGCGGAAGTGACGTGCGGCCAAATTAATTTTTAATAAACTTCACAACTGAACTGTTTGTTATGTATGTCGACGGTTATTAGTTTGTGTTTAGGATTATATTCAATGTTTGTTTGTATATTTTTATGAATTTGATGTAGATTGAGTTTGTAGTTATTGTTTGTGTTGTAACATCAATAGTATATTTTCAGCTGTTTTCAACAAAACGTGTTAAAAATATTTCGTCAAATCAAGGGGCTTACTCTTGAATCCAATTCTGATCGATCGACATTGATATTGTGAAATTTCGGACTCTTGAGTTGCAACACTAGCGCCTATTGCATCCGTATTGCGTGGATATTTCATGAAGTGAATAGTTCAGCTTTATTTTTCGTACTGTGGAACATGATTTTAACAGCTACGACTGGTGTTGTATAGATGTGATTTTAAATAATTATTGAGATTTTATTAGATTGAAATTGTATTGATATAGAAATTGGTTTCAAGAGAAGTTTTGTAATAACTAAGTAAATAAAAAACAAGTACAGTACAATAGGGTAGTAGACTACATTTTTTAAAGTCCGTCTGGTAGATTATTTTAAAACATTAGACACGATGTTTTTCTTATCTTACAAAATTAAATACTTTCGACTTATACCGATTAGAAATATCGTGTGACGTCACATTTTAAAGGGTAGCGTGAGGAAACGACCTCCCACTCCTAAACTCAACTCCGTTTTATCTAAGTATTGTTTTCTTATACGACAAATTAAAAAAAATGTGTGCCTAATATTTAATCAGTATTTAACCGATGGACTAATTTCATATACTGTCTACTACCCTATTATTCTGAGCTGAGATGGGGCGCTAAGACAAAACCCTATTCATAAAAAGATGACTTTGGGACGAGCACCTAGCTTCACAGACAGACAGAACGACGAACAATTCAAAAGTGTGTAATTAAGAATGAATAGAAATGCTTAGAGTGTAGAGTACTTACGATGTTGTTCTGGCGGCGGTATGGAGGCGTAGTTCCCGCGGGGCAGGTGGTGGCCCAGCATGCGGCGGCCTGCCTCCTCCATGCTCGCGATCGTGTTGGAGCGGACCATGCCTACAAAAAAAATATATTATGAGTTAAGGATATTAATGTGGCAATAAATACCATATTATGTACTATTAGGAAAACTTATTATGTTTAAAGGTATATTTATAAAGAGATAAAGATAAAGATATCTATCCTATTGGGTATCCTGGGTTTAACTCGTCGAGTACCGGTTTTATAGACACAATTAAAGAACAATAGGTCGCGGTCACCGGTGACCGCTTGGTGTTTGACAGTTTAAGGTGTTTTAAATAAAACATTTTTTTAAGAAAGAAATAGAAACACTCACCAATCTGGGGCCTCCAGTTCCTATTCTCTTCATGTGACAAGTTCCCAGGTTTGAGTACCCGCGGGGGTTGCTGGGCGCCCTCTAGTCGTCTCGCCGGGAACTCCTTGTCGTACGCAGGGTCCACGAACCTCACACATACCACGTGGTTGCCCAGCACTGGCTGCAGACCTATCACTGGAGATGGCAGCTGACTGTAGGAGGAAAAGAAGTGATTAGTTTAATTATTATGTGTATAGTAGTAGTAGAGGTAAATAGTGAGAAGGGGTAAGGGGGATAGTCGAAGATATAGAGGGGGAGTGAGAGTGGAGTACGAAGTGGGAGGAAAGATTTGGGTTTAGGAGGAGTGGGAGTTAGGAAAGACGGGTGTAGATAGGGGTAGGTTTCAAGAGAGGGTGAGAGTAGTAATAGGAGAAAGGGGGGATAGAGAGACAGAGAAATAGCAGTTTTCATCCGATACCAAAATTATAAACATCATTAAAATACATACCCGCCAATAACAACACAGTCCTTGCTGAGCATGACGTCCCCCGTGACCCCGTCGCAGCGGTACGGATACTTGTGTTTGTCCTCAATGAGCTGCCTCAGCTTCCCCCCAGCGCTGGAGTACAGTCCCAGCAAGAACGAGTAGCTGGCGTTGGCCGTGCCCACGTACAGACGGTCGTGGCCACGGATGTTGCGTAGTTCTGTGTAAGAAGATAACATATTAGGTCTTGTCGAATAGTTAAAAAATATTTAGCGTTTGATGCAGTGACTAGGCGAATCAGATTAGACTAGTTTGACTGCACGGTGGCTGAGCAACTGGCTGCCGCGCAACGTGTCACGGGGGTCGATTCCCGCGCGGACCAACTCTTTGTATAATCTATAGATTGTTGTTCCGGGTCTGGGTGTGATGTGTATGTAAACTTGTATGTGTGTAATCGCACCCACGACACAGGAGACAATCCTAAAGTGGGGCAACGTTTAAAAAACAACTGGTAATTTTTTTCATTACATTCATTAATTGTTGTTGCGAAACTGAATATGATGTATATTTGTCATCGTGTATTTATAAACGAACACAGAAAAAGACATTAGTGATTAGGGCTTAAATGTAAAATCTTCAACAAAAAGGTTCTGTTGTCAAAGTCCAAGGGAACAGTTAGATCGCTCACCAAACCTTGCCATTTTAAGAGCTATAATTAATTCATTATAGAACAGAGTACTCACTCTCAGCCTCCGTGAGGTCATCATAGTAGGGCTCCAGGGCCTTGAAGAGTCTCTCCTCGTCGACGAAGGGTAGCAGTGCCACGCCCTGCCAGGCAAACTTCTTGCCGTTTAAGTCGATCTTGAAGTCCGTCGGATAAAAGTCGATGATCGGGGAAAACTGTATGGAATAATGACATATATATAGACATAAATTAATAATACACACACATAGACATAAATTAATAATATTATTTGTTAAAAGGGTCTTTGTTTTTAAGCTGCAACACACTAAGCAGCTAAACAACTATAAGACTAGTTCAACTCCAGAATAATTCACAATAAATGGCGAAGGCTGGAACACCTTTACTAGTCTTCGCTTTTACAGCAGCAAGAAGCATAAATACAGGAAGAAAATGTCAGGTAAAAATATGTTGCATTGTGGAATTAAAGCATCTAACTTTTGGTTAACTAAGAGTGTTATATTAAAAGAAACCTTATATCTTATCGTTAAGGTTGATATTCCAATACTTACCGGATCGCTCATGAGCTTCGCCCAAGGTTTTGGCACGTGAGTGGAACTGGCTGCAGGGAACACGCCCATCAACTGCTCTAGAGGACGGAACTGTGGGAAAATGTGTCTTATAAGTCAAGGTACTAGATTCAATATTGCACTAGTGATCTAAATAAAGGCTTTTATTGTATGATACATAAAGATTATTATCGTGTAAACTTAACGGTGGCTTTGAACTTTTATTTATATCGTAAAAAATTAAGAATGGAATAATTTTAAACTTTACTTTTATTTTATCATTTGACAAATGTTACCAATCACAATAAAATAAATGTTTAAGTTACAAAAGAATGGAACCGAAAATTGGACAAATTCTTATTTGCTTGACAGTGAAAAGTAAAGTAAATAATCATTTTAGTACAATTTATTATTTGTTACTTATGATTTGACCAAAATAATAATTATTACTTTGGCTACATATATAGACTTACGGGTTGCGTGCCCTCCTCGAACTTGGTGGACAGTCCGCAGATGTTGACGAAGTCTGAGGCGAATGGTGCGTAGTGGTAGGGGAAGTACCACTTCCAGCTGGCGCAGCCCTGGTAGTAGTAGCGCAGCACCCAGCACAGCCCGCGCACGTACTGCAGCGCCACGCGGTACCTGCGAGGTGACACACGTCACATACAACATTCTCCGCCGGGATAGCAGGTAAGGTAATGTATCAGAGACATTGTAGAACATACTTATTTAAAAAGAGTAACGAATTGAGTTTCTTGCTCGTTCTTCTCCATTCGAATCTACATTTTGGAATGATCACCTAGCTTCACCTAGCTTCACTAACGGACTGACTGACAGACTATATTATTTATTTTGTATTTGTTGATGTTTCAAAAGTTTTGACTAGACTTTGACTTTGGTCACCATTTATGTGCCGAGGGGCCGAAACGAAGCAGGAGAAGGAACGGGGTGGTTTTTAGTCAGTAAGAGTCTGATACTCCCTCCCGCCTCTCTCAGGGCGTCATTTAATAATTTTAGAGTTCAATGTGTCAAATGTCAATGGTTCAAATTATTGTACACACACAGTACACAAAAATAAACAATTTATGGCCCACTTTTAAATAACACGTATGCGTTTTGATTAGTTATATCGCAAAATGTATTCCTACGCGTAAAATTCGATAGCAACCAAATGAATTTTATTTTACAATAATGCGAAGAACAAAAATAGATATCATTAATCAAGTCTGCTAACACAGAATTAACATCTTAGCACAAGACCACCCCACTTCTAAATCTTTTTTACCACAAATCTGACTAAAATTCACATCAACCAACACTATTAACTACAGCTACACCATACATGTAGTGTGTACTGACCGGAACTCCATGTTGTCCCTGGCGACCTCGAACTTGCTCTCGTAGTACCTCTCCTTGAACCCCTGCTCCCACAGCCGCACCTCGTCATTCTTGTCGTCGTCCTCGTCGTCCAGCCCCGCCGCATTGGCGGACCGCTTGCGGCCACGACTCTCTGCTTCTTGCTATAAAACATAAATAATGATTAAATGTAGACTAACAGCGGTTTCATCATCAACAAAAAGATGTCAATTGCTTAACCAAATGTAGTTGCCTAGAAGGTTCAGTTTTCCCTAATTTTTGACTCGTATTTTCGACTTTATAATCAAAACAATACAGTTAAAATTGAAATGAAATGTATGTTGACGAGAGCCACAACACAAAATTGAACTTTATAAGCTCACTTTGATAAGATACTAGACTTGGGTAGTTCGCGAACGAAAGACAAAAATGAACTAGTTCATTAGGAAAGCAGCAACTTGTCTTTCGTTCAGTTTCATACAGACTGTATCTCTAGTTCACTAGTTCACTTGGTGATTCGCATCTCATTTTGACTCAAGAACTACTACCGAACGACGCGACGATCGCTCGTTTCGTTTCTGAAATGAACAAGAAGGAACTACCGAACTAAATGAATCAAGACACTTACAAAAACCGATCGAGCACGTGCATCGTCTTGTTTTTATTTACGAAATGATGTGAGACAATAGATATGCATCGCTTGCGTTGCCGAACAAGCAATAATATACTTTACGTAACTAACAATACGGTACCGTTTTCCATAATTTCGTCCAGATGACGTATCTTTTAACAAGTATGTATAGAAACCAATATCTGTTGACCTCGAATCATATAAGCGTACCATACAATGATAGGTCATTTTATACTGGTCATAAATTGAACTAGATGAACTAGTGAACTAGATGAAAGATATAGTTCGTAGGACGAGAAAGATACGTATCTCTCTTTTCATCTTATTGAACTATTATTCGCAACTCTATAAGATACTTACAGCAGCTTCGTTCTGCATACCGGCGACGCGCATGTTGGCGGCCTCACGACGTACGTTCTCCATTGGCTTCGACTGATTCTGTCCGACAGCCTGGATGATAAACAGACATAAAATATTAATACCAGAAATATCGCAAACATCTGAACTAGAAGGAAACAGACCAAAAAACATTTATGTGCGTTTGTTAAAATAACGACGTTGTAAGATCACCATCTAATAGTGATCCTTCGTTTAGTAAATGTTTGTATGCCTGAAAAGCGTAATAAATTGGAACCTGGGAGCACACTGAAGGGTTGAATATCGTATTCAGAAATACAGCAGGACACAGTTCATGCACATAAAGGATTCAGGATACAAGTTACATTATGCTCACCATAGGGGCAAACTGCGTCTTCTCCAGCATCTCAAAATTGACGCGCTGTTGTTGCCTCTTCTTGACCTTCTCTCTAGCCTTGAAGTTGATCTCGTTCTGGTGTCGGCGCTTGAAGATCTCGTCCTCCATGTGTCCGAGCTCTGTCATAATCACCTGCACCCGCTCCAGCTTCACGTCGCCCGAGTCTGTGAGCCAGCCCTGCAGAAAAAAGCAGATCGTGAAAAGGTGTCGCTAATTTATTTATTTCCAGGTCTTTATCTAAGGCTTTAAAAGTGTGAAATCTCTTTAATGGACTTTCGATTTTATTGCATAAATATAAAACTCTAAAATCTATTATATCAAGTAGATATTATGCGATAATCAAATAGGTTTACGCGCATCATTAGCACTATATGACGCTAGTATTCTGTTAAATAGTGGCAATTCCCTAATCGAGCCATTTCATTCACGATGCGTAAAGAACCTAGGCCTAGTTTTTTAGTTAGTAGAGATCCTAGCACTGGTAAGATAAATAGAAATGAACAATGAACTTACCCTAGTTTTATAAACACACTTCTTATACAAGTTCACGAGCCGATCCACGGCGCCCTCGCGGATCTCCAAGCTGGGTAGATGTGGCAAGAAGTCGTTGCCCACGAAGAAGCACATAAACACCCAGTCATCTAACGCCCTCTCAAAGTCATAAGGGAATGGGAGGTTTGGCATCTGCAGCTCTTTCTCCAAGTACTCCCGGAGGACGGACAGACGGACGAATATAAAACTGTCCTGGTTGCCGAATGCTGGGTCTGACCGCACTAGAGACGCGTCAGGATTTGTGCCTGTACATTCCTTCATTTCGTGTCCTGGAAACAAGATAAAATAAACAGTTAGTACCTAGTAAAAAGTATTCTGTTTTCATTACTCATTAATTTACAATAAACATGACCAATGCTTCGAACTTAATATGTAAACTAAACTCAGAGATCAACTTTATTGTAATATGCTTCCCCTATTTATTAGATTTAAAAAAAAGCTTTACCTTCAACTTTAAAGAACTCAATATTTAGGTTTAGGTTATGTTACTTACCGAGCTGTCCGCAGACATCGCAGGGGCGCGGCTTGTTGGGCTTGAACTCCTCACGGATGATTGTGAAGTTGGGCTCATGCGTGGCCAGCCCCAACATTATCAGATCCGCGTCCGCTCCACACAACACATGCTGAGTGTTTGGGTCATGGTCCGGTTGCACTAGAAATAGGATAAACAAACAGATTAATATAAAATACTAATTAAAGGCAGATAACTGAATAAGTGGGTGTGACTGCCTCGTTGGCCGAGTGGTCGCAATTGCGACTGCCGGGCAAGGGGTCTCGGGTTCGATTCCCGGGTCGGGCAAAGTATTACTAGGTTTTTAAAAAATTCTCAGTAGTAGCACGGAGTCTGGAACTGTGCCCGGTATATGGCAATAGGCTCACCCCCTATTACATGGGACTCATAACATAAATAGTGAAAAGTGGGTGTCACATTGTACAGTGGTATAATGTGCGCCTCTGCCTACCCCTTCGAGGATAAAAGGCGTGATGTTATGATGATGGGTGTGACTGCCTCGTTGGCCGAGTCGCACTTGCGACCACTCGGCTCGGTCTCGGGTTCAATCTCCGGGTCGGGCAAAGTATTACTGCATGGGTTTTTAAAAAATTCTCAGTAGTAGCACGGAGTCTGGAATTGATTGTGCCCGGTATATGGCAATAGGCTCACCCCCTATTACATGGGACTCATAACATAAATAGTGAAAAGTGGGTGTACATTGTACAGTGGCATAATGTGCACCTCTGCCTACACCTTCGGGGATAAAAGGCGTGATGTATTTTACATAATCTAATGTTGAACTTACCCCGCTGCCGCCTGATATAGTCCATGATCTTGTGTTCTCCCTCGCCGGGTACGTTGGCATCTGACAGGATCACTTTAATGCCCTTCCATCCTGGGTCATTGTTTAATCTGGAAAGGAATAAACAAAATATAAAGTACATGTGTACTTTACTCACAGCTCAAATATTTTCTGGGTTTGATGCAGATTACGTCGTGTGCTTGACCTGAAGGTGTCGTAAGAACTAAGGAACCTACATTTTAACAGAAATGTATTTAAAGAGAGCATATACATCCCCATCGTATAGATGGTTGGCAGGCCACAACTGTGCGCTTCTTACGTAGCTTTCTGCCTCGTATAGCAAAACTGTGGAATGATCTGTCGTCGGCGGTATTTCCGAACCGATACGACCTTCAAACCTTCAAGAAAAGAGCATATTCCTGTTGAAAAGGCTGGCAACGAAGCTGTGACTCCTCTGGTGTTGCGAGTGTCCATGGGTGATCCGTCTGCTAGTTTGCCACCTAATCTATATAAAAAAAGCTGCGATCTCCAACTTCGCATGGCGCGGATATTATGGCTAATCCCTTTTTTGTAGTAGAAGCCCATAGTAGTGAAAAACCACAAAAATAGAGAATGAAGTCCATACAAACCTGTCATGAATGTAATAGTGCAGACACTTGCTGAGGCGGTCCATGAAGGGCGTCCCAGGAGTGATGCAGTTGGAATCAAAGTGAGCTTCCTTGGGCCTCTCTGGAGGCAGGTAAGCACCTTTAGCCAGCAACTCGTCGCGGATGCGAGCAATCTCGTCGATCTTCTCCTGGGTCTCTTTGGAGGCACGGAAACGACGGGAACGCTGTTGGTTCATCTTAGCTCTGGGTGCCTGGAATTAATATGTCATTGTTGTTATTAGACAAATGGGAAGGACATAAACATATTTTCAAAGGATTTGTATAGCTTATTACAAAGGGTTTTTTTAAGGGGGGAAAATCATCGATCTGCTCCTGTCTGGGTGAGGCGGGAGGGAGTGTCCGACTCTTAGTGACTAAAAACCACCCCGTTCCTTCTCCTGCACGTCGAGCCGGAGCCTCGGTAACCCGTTAGGTTCTCCGCGACTATTACAAAGGGTAACCTTCTGTTATTCATACAAACATTATCAACAGTAATAAAACCATTGTCTCACATTTGCCTTTTGCAAAGAACAAAAACCAACAGTATAATGTCCAAGTTTTTGCAAAACTACCAATAAAAGTAGTATTATGACAAAAAATATAAATACTTTTAACAAAACGGCACAAAAGACTACAACACTCACCACTCCATCAATAGCCATGTAGAGCAGCTTCCTGGGTCGTACAATGCGGAACAGTCTGTCGATGCACTCAAAGATCGCCACCATCATCTCGTCTTCATCCTTAGGGGGTGGCTTGTCTTCAGGATGGGTGCAGGGATGGATGATACCATTCATGTCCAGGTACAGGTTGTCAAACTCCACCCCATTTGGGTTTGGGAGTGAAGAGTCAATGTACACAAGTTGGCCATCAACGTCGGTTGGCTGGAAATTTATAAAATCACCATTTTAAATATCATGGTATGATAATTAGCTGTGGATTTGTGTTCAATGGTTTTTTGATAGCAATTAAAGATGTAATAATTACTTATGTGACTTCTGATTCATCTTATCATAATTATAATTAAACTAGCACTGCCATGCGGGTTCACACGCTCTGCTTAGCTCCTATTGGTAGTAGCGTGATGTTTTATATAGCCTATAGCCATCCTCGATAAATGGGCTATCCAACACAGAAAGAATTTTTCAAATCGGACCAGTAGTTTCGGAGATTAGCGCATTCAAACAAATAAACAAAAAAACAAACTCTTCCGCTTTATATATATAATAGCACAAGAACCAATGTCATTAATCAATTATTACTAATTAGTAGTTGTGGTGTATAAAATATAGAATTAGGTGAAATTTCCTGGTATTTTGTGGTCTCTTTACCTCTAATAAACATTCTTATTTACTCATTACTTTCACCTGTAGATAGATATAAGTTTTAGAGCTGAAAGTATTATTTTCATCACGATAGTATTAGTTTTTGATGTGAACAATAATCCTTATTAGTTGCGTGATAAAATTAACACAAAATCAAGTTTCAAACCATTAAAATCAAGATACTTCTGAAGTATGGGTAGTTTCAACTATTCATGATTTCCACTGAAAATATTTCATTGAAATGTGTACCAAAACCGTATACTATGTATGTACCAAAATCTTTATAATAACGTATGGATTATGATAAAAATTAATATTCATGCATTTTAATAATTACGAGGTTCATTGTATAGGATTTATTCTGACAACAAGAGTCTTAGAAAAACATAGTTTTTCGCCAAACACTGAAGCCACATTAAAACACTGGAGACGCAGGACATCAAAACACGGTTTCTAGTATTTCTTTCGTATATCAAAGCAAAATAAACCTGTGATTACGCATATGTATTTATTAAACATATATTTTTAGGTTATATCTTACCTTCTGTTCAATACATTCAACAATGACGCTGGGGTATTTTCTACTTAACCAGCGAAAGAATGCTGGTACTCCCATCTTGAAATTTCACTTTAAATTATTGCTCTGGTCTGATTTTACACTTCGTTTATATTTTGTTACGTTACGTATTCAACACAAACAAATCGACGCAGATGCCACCGATGCCCCTGCCGAATGAAGAATGAATGAATGGAATGAATTCAATGAATAATGAATGAAGTGGAATGAATGAAGACAACTAAAAGAAAGAGAAAGATTGCTAAGCTAGAAAGAGATAGACGACATAAGTTCGGAAATTAATACACGTCTTTTTATAACCATAGACTATAAATCCTTTGATAAAACGGCTTTTCAGAGAAATATGTGGTAAATTAATCAATTTACGGGGTAAGTAACATGCTTGAAACATTAATATAATATTATTAATTAAAAAATATGCGTAAGTACAAATTACGTATCCATTACGTACCTATACATTATTTTGTTATAGATATAAAGTTACATAACGCAACATTAATCAATAATTTGTATTGCAAGTTGCAAGGATGGAGCCCGAAGATGGAGGAACAATAAAAGCTATTACATTATCAAAAATTAGACACGTTTGGAAATTACTGTAGGACTTTTGAGTCAAATGTCAAAAAATACTGTCAATGCTGTCAAATGAAATTGTGACCTTATCAGTCAGCTGGTGGTCTGGTGGTGGTTGATCTAATTTGATTAAGCATGGGATTACCATAGGTTTTGGTGATTTAGTTGCAATAAAGGCTTCAACATGAATCGTTACCGGCGGGTATTTCGAGTGTCTTGGCTCAGAAGATGTTTCTCAACCAATGGAGACAAGAATATAGAAAATATCCGTAACATAGGCATCTTGGCTCACATAGATGCAGGTTAGTAGTAGTAAACTTCCATTAGTATGCATAAAAATAAATAATTTATTATTTGCTACGTCCCACTGTTATTATGTCAGCGAAAAATTATTATTTTCATTCATTAATTTTATAATCTCTGATTTTTATTGCAGAAAACTAAATTTCTATTGTTTTATGAAAATTACTTTGTTTTAGGGAAGACAACGACTACAGAGAGGATGCTGTTCTTCTCCGGGACCATCAGAGCTATGGGGGAGGTGCATCATGGCAACACTGTGACGGATTATATGGAACAAGAGCGGCAGCGGGGAATCACCATTACATGTACATGTTTAACCAAGCTATGTTTGATTTATGATTACATAATAAATTATGAAGAAGTTATTTATCATACATAAAATAATTTGCAACAAAGCTTTTTGTTAAGTCTTCTGACTTTTAATTATTGGTCTTGTAGCTGCAGCCGTGTCATTTCCCTGGCGTGGAAGTCAGATCAACCTGATAGATACTCCAGGCCACATTGACTTCACCATGGAGGTGGAGCAGAGCCTTGCTGTGCTGGATGGAGCTGTCATCGTGCTTGATGCGTCTGCGGGTCAGTCGATGATGCGAAATTGCGTATATTCTTTCATGCGATTGTTTTCGATAAATATTACATGAATGCTTGTACGAGCAGCTAAGCAATAGTGCAATAGTGCGAAATATTTATATTATTATAAATATTTTTATGCCTATTTCATAAAGAATGATTCAGCGAATTCCCTTTTATTAGTAATAAGAGGTTCCATTTGGAAACAAATGGAAACTTTTAACAAAATAGTTTCTATGATCAGGTGTAGAAGCGCAAACCCTAACAGTATGGAAGCAGGCCAGTGGTTATCGAGTGCCTCGGATCCTCTACCTGAACAAGATGGACCGTGGAGATGCCAGCGCTGAGGAGTGTGCTCGCTCCGTGAAAGAGAAGTTGCATGCTCAGCCGCTGCTGCTGCATACTGATGTCAGGCTTGAAGGACGGCTTATAGGTATGTATGATGTGATGATATTGCCATGTAAATTATTATAGCATTTAACTAAGGTACTTGTAGCACACACTTTGTTAGTAAATAGCATAAATGCTTAATACACATTGAATAGTAAAGTTGATGGCATATTTTGTAATTATTTTCTAAAAATGAGGTTTAGCCAAAACATAAGTATAAAATCAATAAATTCAAGTAGTTACTGCAAACATTATGAATTAGGAAATCAGGATAACATTGGTCCTTATATCGCTGAAGCTGTTCCTCTTTCCCAGGTCTGATAGACCTGATAACCATGGAGGAGGTGATATGGACGCAGGGTCGAGGGCAGACGCTGGTGCGACGCAAACTGACGGAGAAGGCGGACGGACACAAGTGGGAGACTGCCATGTCTGAGCACAAGGAGCTTGTAGACACACTGTCCACTCTGGACGACCAGCTCGCTGAGACCATTATACAGCAGGTAGGGAGGTGTTAATTGTTAGGTTTTATTACAGGAATAGGATAATTACAGATGCATTACATAGACATATTTAATCCGGATTACCCCTACTCTTGATATAATGTATCTCAGTAACTAAAGTGCCAAATAAACCAAATCTCTTTCACCAATCAGGAAACTCTAGAAATCAGCAGCAAAGACATCGAAGAAGCTGTCAGACGGTGCACACTCTCAATGAAAGGCTTCCCTATCCTCTGCGGCAGCTCCTATAAGAACATTGGAGTCCAGACTCTGATGGACGGCATAATCTCCTACCTTCCAAGTCCTGGGGAAGGCCACAAGATGTATAGAAGCTTCGGCACTGATCTGGCTGCCAGAGCATTCAAGGTGCAGCATGATGACCAGCGAGGAGTGCTTACCTTCCTCCGGCTTTACAGCGGAGAGATCAGCAAGGGACAGAAGATTTATAATCTTGCGCGGGATAAGAATGAACAGGTAATATTTATATTATGTGGCTTTTATACAAAAAATTGTGGTTGTGTCTGTTTGTAACAAGTTAATGTTTTTGTTGAAACAGGAGTAAAACATGTTTATAGATAATTATTTTAAGAGTAACGGCCTTCAAAAATGCTGTAAGTTTAACTGGACAGCATGAGGCCCTTAGTTTGATCCCCAAATCACTAAGATAAGTTTTATTGTGTTCTTACTACATCGGTTTCTATGTTCGTCTAACTAGGCGGGCGCGCTGTACGTGGCGCTAGCGGACGAGTACCGGCTGGTGGAGAAGGTGACGGCGGGGAACATCGCAGTCGTCAGCTCGCTTAAGGTAAAATTCTCGAGACTTTTAAAAGTACCTATTCCTTCACCCGTGGCTTCGCCCGCGTGATTAACGAGAAAATATATCGCCCTATCGCGCCTAAATTGCTCTCCAAACTTTGTTTTTTTTTAAATAACATATACTTGAAATCCAGGTAAAAAGTATTTTTAAACAAACCAAACATCATTTAGTCTAATTTAGTACCATCTTACTAGACTGCCTCGTTGGCCGAGTGGTCGCAATTGCGACTGCCGAGCAAGGGGTCTCGGGTTCGATTCCCGGGCCCGGGTCGGGCAACGTATTACTGGGTTTTTAAAAATTCTCAGTAGTAGCACGGAGTCTAGAACTGTGCCCGGTATATGGCAATAGGCTCACCCCCTATTACATGGGACTCATAACATAAATAGTGAAAAGTGGGTGTTACATTGTACAGTGGTATAATGTGCACCTCTGCCTACCCCTACGAGGATAAAAGGCGTGATGTTATGTTATCTTAGTTCATACTTCATTCAACATAACAAAATAAAACCAACGTAAAATGCACTTTACTTTCTTATAAAACGGTTGAAAATACTTGCAAACCTATAAAGTATCCTTTCAAGTGAGATAAAATGTAATAGGGATTCCCCAGGCTACGATGACGGGCGACCTGGTGACGTCTTCCCAGGCTTCTGCGTCTCGGGCCAAGACTCAGCTGTCACAGCTGCTGCAGGACGCTGGAGACCACCTCGAGGAACTGGTGCTGCCCAGTGCCAGGCAGAAACTACAGGCCTTGGAAACACAACCTTCTAATGATGAACTTGCTGAACTACTGCTGGGAATCGGTAAGTGGGATTGGTGTATTATTCTAGAGCTCTCTATGTGTTTGATTTGGTGATGATAGAGTTTAAGAAAAGTTTGATAAGACATAGCAGTTGGAAAGGGGTATTGATGTCTGCTTTTGAAGATGTTCCTCATTGTTTAGGCTAGCCTATGTTGATCATAAATTAAACTGTCAAACACCAAGCGGTCACCGGTGACCGCAACCTATTGTTCTTTAATTGTGTCTATAAAACCGGTACTCGACGAGTTAAAGTAAAGAGTTGTTCTGGTTGCTGAGCCACTGCACCAACCGTGCAGTCGATATTTGTTTACCCCAGTAACCCCCCCCCCCCCCCAGGTACGTCAGTCCCGGAGCCCGTGTTCCTGTGCAGCATGGAGCCGCCCAGCGTGTCGCAGCAGCCCGCGCTGGAGGCCGCGCTGCTGCAGCTGCAGCGGGAGGACCCCAGCCTCCGGGTACATACTGACGCGGACAGTGGACAGACTGTACTCGCAGGTACACAGGCATCATCATCATTAGATCTTAACGAATTGTGACATTCTTATATTCATTTGCTCCTAAGTCAACTAGTGTAACATATCATTGAGTAGCAAGCTGGTCGATTAGGTCTATTTTACTACTGTGTAAATTCAGATTAAGCTTTGAGTCCCAAACAAAGTGTAGCGTTATGGAAATATCATACAAATCTATACGATAATATTGAGTTAACTGGATATTTCAATTACTTCTGCAATCTGTGAGTCTTTTGAAACCTACCAAATTTAAATTTCAGTATAATAATCAAAAACATACTATTTTAACAACATGTCCTTAAAATAAATTTTCAAAAGTATTGCAACATTTCCGAATTCTACCTTTTTGTATCTAAAACAAGGTATGGGAGAGCTCCACCTGGAAATAATCAAAGAGCGCATTATCAGGGAGTACAAGATCGAGGTGGAGCTGGGTCCCCTGCAGATAGCGTACAGGGAGACCCTGCAGGGCTCCGCGCGACACACGCTGGCCGTAGACCGCAAGATAGGGGGCTCCAGGCAGGTCTGCAAGGTCACCATGTCAGCTAAACCTATGAAGGGCCTCGCACCCGAGAAAATCTTGAAGTAAGTTACAGTATTTTTCCTAACATTCAAATTATATTACAGGGACGCTGTTGTCTAACTGCCAACTTCTATAACATATCGTAATCCAAAATATGTGGATTAAGATCGATTTTTGACAGAAACTCCGTACAACTACTGTCAATAATCGATCTATATCGACAGATTTTGGATTAACCTTTAAGTACCGACATGCCATCTTAGTTACATAAGTACCGACGTGAGGTCTGCTAGACCACTATAGCTTTAGTAAGGAAAACTTTCATATTACAAAATATTATTATTTTTTAAATGTGTCTATGTATTAATAATATATTTAGTTATTGTATAAATAAAACAAGATAAAGAAATTTTTATATTTATTATTATTATTAACACGAACTTTGAAGTCTTAATTTCTTTGGGAGAAAAAATTAACATTTTACTTTTTTAATAACATTTACCAACTAAGTATTTTTTTTTCATGATATATGTTTTTTCTTATAGATTAATAACTAAGAAAACAAATAAAATTAAAATTTAACAAAGAATTAACAAATTTCTTCAAAATTGCACGGCATCATTATAGGAATTATCACAATTTACAAACACTCTTTGCATACAGGCTTACTGCATTGCAGGCACACATGTTTCATGCAAGTATCGCATTTGTAAGCAGTCTTACGCTTTAGTTTTGAAGGGCAAATGTGACAGAGTTTTCTTGTCTGACTACCCTCGGGTACTTGATTTTCTTCCCTCACATCTTCTGGAGCATCTGCCCCTAGAACTCTACTTATCGACGCATGTAATTCTCTCGGTAGATGTTTATTTAGAAAGCGGCGCTGCATTTGTGGAACCACCAGAGATCTTGCCAGAAGCTTCAAGAAGACAGATCTGTCTGCTATTTTTTCATGTGAGTGATAATTGTACAGAATACATGCATTTATGGCGCTTAGGTCTAGTATCCGAAAAAATATGGTTTGCCTCGATTGGCTGGCCTCGTTGGATTCAATTTCTTGCTGTTCCACCCGCTCACTATCTGACCCTTCCTGTTCAGATGCTGAATCATGGTCACTCTCGGCAATAAAATTCGGATCTATGTCATCAGAATCTGACTCAGAGCTCTCATTTAGCCATTCAATTACCATCTCTTCATGATCCTTATTTTGAGGCTTAGTTTCACGTTTCTTCTTAGTGACAGGAACACTCTCATTTTCTTTTGAGGGTGCACGTTTCACACCCGATGTACCCGGCCGATTCATTTTTATGACTAGCTGAAAATAAAAGAGAAAAATAGTAAAACCTGGAAAAAATCGTCCCAAAAAAAGTTACGTAAGTACCGACGAGTGGTCTGTCAGACCACGCGCGAACTTATAAAAGACATAACTCACCAGAAACGCAAGCGCCGACACAACCACACTCCACGAACGTTGCCGGGCGACTGCCTGAGGGGTACACGAACGCGCGGGGGGTTACGTCTCTGTTAACAAATGAAACCACCGTATCCGAACGCTTCAAGTGTCTGTCAGACCACACGTCGGTACTTAAAGGTTAAGATTGTATAACCCTCGGTATCGAGAGGGTTAAGCTGGGGGTTGATTTGAATAAAAGTAATTGGTAGTGGTTACCGAACACTTGTATTCCGAATTATTGTACAATGAAAAATTTGATATAATAGCACGTGACGAATTGATACCAACATCAAATAAATTCGTTAGACCCTTATACTATTGTCGGAGAATCTTAACACCGCGATTCAGAAAATGATCTTAAATAAAAAGCACCATCTATGAACGAATATTGGAACACTTGTTTTCTGAATCGCGGGTTTCTTACGTGTCAATCGCTTGGCGGTTAGACAAAGATAGTTTATTGAAATTGGCAGTAAATCGTAATTTCCAAATGACTTCCAGGTTGGACAAGAGCGGTGACAGCGCGGCCAACCTGTCCCACATCCACCCTCGCCACATGCAGGCCATCAAACAGGGACTCAGCACTGCCCTCATGCACGGCGCCAAGCTCGGGTGCCCCGTCAGTACACTACTTATCATTGTACCAGTATATCAGACAGTACTCGTGTAACTCGTGTAACCCTACCTACTATTGTCCCCCCAGGTAGTGGACGTGCAAGTGACGCTGCACTGGTTCGAGCTCGGGCGAGGCACGTCCGACTCTGTAGTCACCGCCACCGTCGCACAATGTCTCCGGAAGGTGAGAACTTGAGTACTACTTTAGTCAACCCACTCTATTCACTATACCTACTCGTCAATTTTTATCCACCGACTTCCAATACAGAAGGTTCTCAGCTCGACCTGTATGTATGTTTGATGATTATTTCGTGATCGGCTGAACCAATTGTGATGCGGTTTTCAGAAAAGTGTTTGTCAAGTAATCACGTGCCTAACTGCCGACTTATTATTTAGTACTAGCTACTTCCGTGCGGTTTCACACGCTATGCTCAGCTCCTATTGGTCGTAACGTGATGTTTTATAGCCTATAGCCATCCTCCTATATGATAAATGCGCTATCCAACACAAAAAGAATTATTCAAATCAGACTTGTAGTTACGGAGATTAGCGCGTTCAAACAAACAAAGCTTTATATAATTATTTAGTATATTTAGTATTTAACATCCACATAACACAACGCAGGTATTCGAAGAAGCAGACCCACTACTGCTGGAGCCGCTGATGTACGTGGAGGTGGTGTGTCCGGAGTCCCACTCCGGCAGAGTGCTGGCAGACCTCTCCAGGAGACGGACGCAGATACAGCATATACATGTACGGCATCAGAACAAGGTCAGTGATTACTCCGACGGTATAAGAGAGCTATTAGGTCAAAGTCAAATTCAAAGTTATTTATTGCAAACATAGGTAATAAGTACATAATACAGGATGTAGCATATATAATAATAGTGCGCTATGTTTCGCCTGTCGGCATGCAATTAAGAAAATGTCAGATTCAATTTCTTTAGTGAGAAAAAACAACATAAATGAACTAAATGATAACAATATGTATAATTAACTCGTCGAGTACCGGTTTTATAGACACAATTAAAGAACAATAGGTCGCGGTCACCGGTGACCGCTTGGTGTTTGACAGTTTAATAATGTCAAACAGAGAAGTCTATAAACACTACAATTATCAGTTCACAGTCACCTTACACTTATGTCAATATTAATTCTTATATTCAATACTATATAATATTACTATATAATAAATTCATAACCTAAGTTTAAATAAGTAGGTGTGCGTTAATTATTTGCTAGATGGATTTATCTTGTAGGTACTCATCAACACTAAGGTATAATAGGCCTTGTTTAGCATTATATCTTTAATTTTGCGTTTGAGTAAGTCATTATTCTTGATCTCTAGTATGTGCTCTGGTAGGTGATTGGATACAATCGTATGTACATCTAGTAGGAGTTTAATGTGTTTCTAGTATAGATTTCTAACAGCCTGGATGGCAATAGGAATCGAAATTGTGTAATAAAAGTGACGGAAAATGAGTGATGTTGTGTTTGTGTTAGTAGAATGCTGCTTTCATAACCAGATGCATACATGTATTGAATGTTATGTAGTAGGCAGCATTCTCCAATCTCTGCCTACCTCTATAATGACAATATTTTGTATACTCACATGTACAATCGCAGATTTACCCGCCTGACCATTTACCAATCAAAAATGAAAGGCACTGGGGCGAGGCTAGACAGATCTTTCTTTATGAAATTCAATTAAAATCAAATTAGTAATGATCAGGCCGAGGTGTCCGCAATTGTACTTCTGTCTATCTATCCACTATCTTCGTTTGCAGGTGATCGAGTGCTTGGCACCGTTATCCGAACTGCTGGGCTACTCCACCAGTCTGCGTTCCCTCAGCTCCGGGCTGGCCACCTTCACCATGGAATTCCACTCGCACAGCCAGATGTCGCCAGTCGACGAGGAGAAAGCCATCAGAGCCATCACAGGTTTTTAAACTCAATTTGATGCCAAGTAAGACCATGCGGGATTTAGACAACGACTTACAACAACCAGGAATATAATAATCGGTTTGAGCAATTTTAAGCTCGATGCTGGGTTAAAGCGACGCTTATAATCTGTTTAGATTAAAAGTACATTAATAATGAATGTAATAAACATGCGAATAACAAAAGTCAAAAAGATAGCTACAATATAATAGTTGATATTGAAAACGTTTAAAAGATATATTAATGTTGTCTACCCCTTCAGTGAACTCCAAACTGCTTGATTACTGTCTACTGTCATATATATTAGCAGTTCTTTTTTAAATAATGTCTCCCAAAATTGGTATGACATGTGATACGCGCAAGTACGCACATCTCCCTGCGCGTTTAGAAGCTTAAAGGCAAGATACTACGCATTAAATCGGTAAAGAACAATCGTTCATTAATTTTAATAACGTTGGGTCTATTATGATCATAGACCAAATAATATTTTTATTAAAATTCCGCCATTACACCTTTTTATTGTGTCTTGGCGTTTTATCATAATGTGACCCCTGTGGGGTTTTAGATAGAAATATAAAATGGTGAAGCTTGGACGGCTAAAGTTGAACAACTTGGACCAATAATTATAATATTAAAGTTTTTTAAACTTTCTTATCGATTTTGTCAGGGACGGACTAAACGATAAATGGGTTTGTTTTGTTGTTTGTGTTTTGTCAGGACAACGATGTTTATTCTGTTTAAAGTCTGTAAAAAGCTAAATCCGCCCCTGTACATACATCGTTGATATAAAATATATAATATTTGATTTGTATTTAATGAAATCGTAAAACTTTAACACTTTCATCGTTTTGATGAGATTGTACATTTTTTTGTATGTAATGAATGACTAATAAATAAATGATATGGATTATCATATTTTAGTTATGTTTGTAAATAAATGAATGAAATGTAGAAACTCGGAAGGCTAGTGCATTGGTATATCATTAATTAATATTATAGAGAGATGACTATACCAAAGACTTAACTTAAACTATGGAAACGCACAATAAATAAACATAAAAAACTAATAAAAATAATAAAAAAGTTGTAATCAAATAATCTTCAAAAAAAATAAGTCGCATTATGAATATAATAGAAAAATTTGAAGATTCTGTAACACGATTACGCAAAAACTGCTAAACGTTGTAATAAACTAAACTAATAAACATAATTTTGATGAGAAATTGCCGCATAAATATATTGGTTTGGATGCATAGGGTACGTTGCGTTGGTGATTTGGGATAAAGACTAAAGATTATATTTTGATTTTGATGAAAATAATGACTGCCTATTGACTATTGATATCTTTCAACTATTCTCGTGGTTTCACCTTCTTGCGGAATCCCTAAATGTCGTAGATTACAAATTATTAAATGTAACATATTAAAAAGTGAATCGAATATAATGTCTACCCATATGTACTGCAATCCCTACCCGACAGACTCCCTAGCTTTATATGTATAGTAGGATAGACATGTGTGCTTGATTGAAAGTACAATCGACTAATTTGAATTATGACCCACTACCTTAAGTTTATTTTCTAATTCTGAGCATTAAGCAACAAAAGATATTTGCTTAAAAATGTATGTGCATTTGTTTTATTTCATTTATTAGATATCTATAATTATAATATTTTGTATTGTTAGACATACAAAATGATAAAATGTTATTATTAAAAAGTTTGTCTTTGTTACTTTGACAAATTCACAACACGTGTCATCAAAGAGGGTCATGATTGAATTCAGTCGATAGTACATTAGAAATGAATGTAATAAAAATCGGTGTAAAAATAAATAAAAAATGTAAAACAGTAATAATCTTGTTTTAATTCTATCATGTTCTATTTACAGTGATTATTATAATAAAAGTGCCGCAACTATTTATTTTCGTAAAAAATCAATTTCACCGAACGTAGGTACTGTTTTGTTAATGATTGAACAATTCGTCTACTTATATCCTTCATTACAGTGGTGCCTGGAAGAGAAAATAAAGTCTCACTTTAAATAATAAAGGATTTTTTTTAAGGGGGGAAAATCATCGAATGACTGCTCCCGCCTGGGTGAGGCGGAAGGGAGTGTCAGACTCTTACTGACTAAAAACCACTCCGTTCCTTCTCCTGCACGCCGGAGCCCCGGTTACCCGTTAAATAATAAAGGATAGGAGTCCAAAAGTCAGCATCTTACTTACATAATAATAAAAATAATCTAATCGATCGCATCGCATAACGCAAAAATGTATAGGACCCTGATTAGCCTCGAATTTGGACTAGCCTCCAACCATTGTGGCTCGCATCTTACCAAGTTTAACCTGTAGAAAATTTATTTTCCCTCATTTCATCTATCAAACCATGTTGTAAATAAATAGACAAGTACTTATATAGATGAACTCACCCGGAACAAGTTCTCGAGCTCGTCGATGAGCGTCTCGTGCCGGAACGATATGCGCACGTCGGGCACGTTGGTGTGAGTGATGTCATTGCCCTCCGGACCTTCTTGCAAGTATTCCTCGCCCAGCCAGTGCTGCTTCATCTGTACACATTTGGCATTTTGTTTCAAATATCAGTAAAACCAAAGTCAAAAAGCCTTATTTTCATTCATAAATCATGTTCTTATCTGGCACTGCTGATTACCCTCTTGCGCGCCTCTCGTACATAATCTCTCGAAAAGCGAATTAACTATTCTGATCAATCAAATAAAGAAGGGGTTGCAATCTTGAAAATATACGTCACAGAAAAAATATCCAATCGGTGCGCGTTTCTCGTACACCCGTGTGTACAATTGCGCGATGGGCACTCAACTCTCTCGTACACCCGTGTGTACGAGAAACACGCGAGAGGTTACAGCCTTAAAGCCTGCTGCACATGGTTACGCTCACACTCGTTCCCGACAGTGCGCTAATATCGCTTTGACTTTGTTTGTCACGTGCGCGTCCAACTTGCTTTGTTTACGTCTCCGAATGGTAGACTGGTGTACGACTCGGCGGACACACCAACGTCAAAGCGACATTGGCTGCGATCGAGGGTATATGTGGCGGACCGGGTGCAAAATACAATAGTAGTAGACTAAATGCTATCATTTGGGATAAACACTGCAAGAAAGGATACTAGAGAGCAGTTCAGCGGTATGCATGATAGACGGAATAATTCGCACTACAGAATGTGGAGTCGAGCGGTGACTCCGAGATAATGATAAATCAGTAGATGTAACCCCAAGATCTCACCTCGTGTGGGAACCCGGACATGATGACAGAGTTTCTGGCGAGCTCGCACATGTCACACGAGCTTAACTTCCACGCCTGAGCGGCGATACTATACTCCTCCATCAGCGGCTCCTGGAAGCAATAACAAATAAATCGAGACTATCATGGAACTTGATGATTTTATGTAAAATTTCGAATTCTTGTGTGTAATATTGTCGAAAATCTTCGACGGGAAATCCACAGGGAAATCAATTACCTTAGTATAATGAAACTGCAACGGGTCATCAGTGCTGAGCGTGACCCTCAGTCCTCGAGAGAAGTACTCCGGCAGAGGGTTGCGGTGGTACCTCAGAAAGAGGGAGTTATTGCTAAGAGGGGACATGGCTATGAATATCTGCGCCAGGTAGTACATGTACTGCAGAACTGGAACCTGGATATAAGAGACAGAAATTAATATGCCGTAAGAACAGCTGCGCAATCTATTGCAGGGAAACCTTTGAGGAAATGGTGATGCACAGAACCACGACCAAATAATATGTAGTCCCTTGTAATAAGGAGCCAGGCACAAGTCAAGGATGTGGAGTTTTACTTAACTATTTAAGTAAAAATAGTTACCTTTCTCAGTACTAGCCCGTGAGAAATGTTCTCAGCTAGCAGGAAGGCTGCTGACATGTGCACGGCAGGTCCTGCCTCGCCACAATGGGGTCGAAGAGTGAACGTGTTCAGGCCTTGGTCTCTGTTTGAGACAAAAAATTAGCAAGTTTGATTTTTTCTTTACAAAACCTCTGTTACTCTGTCCAAATAGGATGCGGCATTTGGATAGAGCACAAATCAGCGCATCATAACAAGAACTCGTCACACCTATGAATTTATCTAAGAAATAAATCTGGTGAAAGGAACTTACTTCCTTATCTGGTTGAGCACAGAAATGTTGGCGTACATATAGTAGAGATAGTACGCGTACGGTGGGTTCTCCTCGTCGTCCCACTGGTCCGGCGTCTTCATGTCAGCGGGTAGCATCGTGTTCTCCGGCTTAGACTCATCGTCCACACTGTCGAAACCTATTACGTGCTGGAAAGTAAACATGTTGTTTGTGAGTAACTTTTCATTACACACACGATGTCATTAGTATGTAATTCTTCCAACAAGCCAGACTTCTAGATGTACCAAACGCTTTACATGAAAACAAACTACATTAACATATCACGATGTCCTGAGATACCGACTGGCTAGTAGAAAAATAAATATTATCATACCGTACATATATTGTACGGTCAAAGGTCAGAAGTCCGTAAGACTACTATCGGTTGCGCTGCAGCGCTTATACACACATGCGCACGCATATTTTTATCCGTGTGCGTACGCGTGCGTGTGTTAATGCGTACGCACGCGTTTTTATGCACATTAGAGGTAATATGAAATTATTGCCGTGTGAACATCACTCACGGTGGCAGTGGACTTTTGACCTTTGACTGTGCATGTTTTATAAGAATTGCGTCTACAACAATAGTAAAATAAGACATACTGAAAGAAATTTATGCAGATCTGGATCAGAGCTGGGATCCACGGAGACGAGGAATAACGGCTCGAATAAGTTTGTCAAAAACTCCTGGAAGTTCTTTATCAACTTTTTGTATCGATAGATGTCGCTGGGAAGAGATGGAGGAAGTTTTAGCAATGATTTTGTGTGACAAGTTTAGCTATTCAGACAACTAGTGATTGACTATTTAAATTTTATAAGATGGCTTAGTACGTACGCTTTATATTAATGTAAAAATTTTGTACCATTATTTTATTGCCTGTTTAAGGCGCACAAATACACAAGTAAACAAATAGAATCGTGGCTTTCTATGTACTCACTAAAGCCTCGGCACTTGTACGAGCCAGCGTACATGGGGAGAATGGACGTCATTCTTCAGTGCCCACGAGGCGAGCTTGCTCCACTCATTGAAGCGCTTACAGTAGATGGAGATGCGGGGCTCCGCGTATGTGTACCTACTCTCTTTGAGGTCCCCCATCACCTCCTGCAAATCAAACATTGTAGAATAACACAGAGGAAGCCTAAAAGGATGATAAACAATATGACGGATCGCCAGATAGTAAACGATCCGCGAAGCTCGTGAATCGATAACAAAACTTTAGGTAATTACCTTTATAATGCTAGCGAAGTACTTCCCGTTCATGTAGTTATCAGTCTTAAGAAAAACCTCACGCAGTCTGCTCTCACCGATAGGGTTGTACTTGGAATTGAACTTGTCGAAGCGAAGAAATGTGTTACGGTCCTGTTGGCAACAGGTTAATGAGATACAGATAAGCATGTCTTTAAAAATAATATTTATATCACGAATATTCCGCCGTTTTACCGCATGCACATCCAAGATATCCACATTCAGGTCGTAAGCATCGAGACACATGTCCTCGAAGACGTTCCTCAGTGTGACTGGCATCCCCTCACGCAGGGCCACCACCTCGTCTGCCTGAGTCCTGAGGGTACGTTTGATGAAGCGCAGCAAATGTTTCTGGTTCATGCAGGATGCTGCGTGGATGTGAGTGTCCACTTTCCTGAGTTAGACAGTAATCACCATTAAAAACCTAAAGTTTAAAACATCTTTGAAGAACCAGAAAATTGTTATCTTACTTCTTGCATTACTAAATGCGAAAGTTTGTACGTTTGTGTGATTTTTTTGTTACTCAATCACGTCAAAATTTGGAACAGAGATAGATGATGGTCTGAAATAACACATAGGCTTCTCTTTATCCACTAGAACGCGGGCGAAACCGCGGGCAGAAACTAGTGGACTATAGAGGAAAATAAAGCAATTAAGTCATTCCTACAAAGCCTCACTTGACATTATAGAAGTCTCGATGTGGCACCGCCTTCTGCAGCGCCAGCTCATGCAGCTCGTTGAGCAGCACGTGCATCTTGAACTTAGACGACAGGTACGACAGGCGACGGTAGCAGAACGATTTCCTAGAACACCGAACATAATATTTGATCTGATCGATCGTACATTACATTATGGCATTTCTGTATCTTAGTGGCAAGGCCTTATATAAAGAAAAAGACTCCACTTATTACAGATATTATCGAAAACTTACTAAAACTCCAGACTAAAAGAATGTCTACCACGTTTTAGCGATCTGAAAATCGAAAATCCAAGACTCGTGTTCGAGAGGATCACGTTTGGCACCACTCAAAAAACATAAAACAAGTTAAATAATACTTACAGCGGACCGTCGCAGATCATGGACTGTAGGTTAGCCAGGTCAGTGGCGAAGTCCTGGAAGGATATGGCCTGGTAGGGCAGTGGAGTGTGAGCCTCCACGTCGAGCGGGTTGCGGTAGATCACCATCACACCGTTCTCCCACTGGCAGACGTAGTGAGTGTCCGAGGGGTGAGGCACCGACCAGGGATCGATTGACAGTATTTCTAGTGATGCAGAAACCATTTGGAGTAACCAGTTGTATGAGGTGTTATATAAAAAGGAAACTAGGTACTTATACTGACTGCCTCGTTGGCCGAGTGATCGCAAGTGCGACTGCCGGGCAAGGGGTCTCGGGTTCGATTCCCGGGTCGGGCAAAGTATTACTGGGTTTTTTAAAAATCTCAGTAGTAGCACGGAGTCTGGAAATGTGCCCGGTATATGGCAATAGGCTCACCCCCTATTACATGGGACTCATAACATAAATAGTGAAAAGTGGGTGTTACTTCTATGTGCACCTCTGCCTACCCCTTCGGGAATAAAAGGCGTGATGTTATGTTGTTGTACTTATATTCATTTAAATATTATTAAATATGAAATACTTGATATAGCCGGCAGCTCCTCGTAGCTCTCGGTGGCACCTCTTAGCGCGTCCGGATTTTTAATATTTGACATTGTCACTGCACAACAAATAACAATCTTAAGTAGATACGTCGTCTATGTCTTACTCACATAACTAATTTGCTGGACTAGTTTTAGCCACGGCAAGAGCTCATAAACAAAAATTAATTAAAAATTAATAAGTTAAAGGTTATAGTTAATTCGATAAGTACAACAAAATGTATTACCCCACACTGGTGATAGCAGTTAGCAATAAGTTATGCTGTTGCCTGCTCCTGTCTGGTTAGTCGAAATCTTAAGACACCTAGACCTAGACAGGCCTGGCCTGACAACAACAGTTGACAGTGGAAATTAATTAAAATCAAAGTACTTACTTCTAGCGTCGGAGACCTGAGGACTGACTTTCATTGGCAGCACCAGTTCGTCAGAGGAGCACGTCGTCAGATGCATGTAGTGGTCGGCAAGCGTACCTGCATGAATGCATCTTATTACGGTTCTTAAGCTACGAAATTCTGGGAATTTTTAATGAGTTAAGTCCCCACCCAGATACTCAACCGACTCGAAATCGCCCCACCGGTCAAATGATTTTTATTAGTCTGCATTTGCAGACTTTTGATACGCATTCCAAAACAAGTTTCCAATTCTGTCCGAAAAACTGAAACTCTTCTGCAAACAATTTCACGTTATTTTTCCCAGTGAATATAAAACTTTGGGTACAAACAAAAATAAAATAAATCTTACTATCCATGTTAATAGCATTGGTTTCATCATAGTCAGACAGTTGAAGCTTAATACTGGAGTAGGTCTCCCGGCGCTTCTGGTTGCGCAGGTAGCTGTCCACCATCGGGGAGAAGTACTGGTTGGACTGGTTCATGTACCGCTGCCGGTACGTCAAGGCCTGCAGCAGCAGCTGTGCTGAACGGATCAAGTCCTCCAGCGGCACCTACGTACGAAAAGTATCCCTGTTTTATGACCATTTGGTATGTGTATAAAAGTTTTCTTAAATGGCTCTGGGACAATCTTGTGTAGGTACCTATTAAATTAAGTTAGAATCTTTGTCTTTTCCTAGTTAGTTAATAAGAGATAAATAGTAGCCATATTTTTTAAAGTCCTGCCTATGGGAATCATCGTAAGTAACTTCCTTACCCCGGTGACGTGTATCCCACTGACGGAGACGCGTTGGAAGCGCACCTCATCCGCGTTGGTGCTGTCCCCGGGCGGTCGCACGTGTGTGCGTGCGCAGTTGCGGGTGGCCGCTCTACCCATCTCCTTCACATCGGGAGTCGAGGGGCCCGTCAGATCTCTGACAATATTACACGTCATTACAGACTAAATAAACTGCTCTGTTGGTCTTGTGTACTGAAAAGGAATTACCCTACATGCATACCAAATAGATTTCTAACTTTGAACTTTCTACATTTCTTGTATTACATATGAGTATGATACCACGAAAAAGTTAACTCGTCTGCTCTCAGTCCATATATCCAACAGTCTCAACGAAGACTATATTTTTAAAAACCCTTATTAGCCACTATAACATAAAATTACGAACTTTTAATTCAAGAACCTTCTAGAAATTCAAAGAGGCAACTTATCAAGGTTACTTGGGAAGACGTGGCTTGGTCCATTTCTTGTACTCCTTGTGTGGGCCCTGGATGGTAGCTCTGGCAGCTTTGGACGTACTGGCATGCACACTGGGCCTGCTAAGGGCTGATGGTCGTTTAAACATCCTTGATTTTTTTATTTCTTTCTACAACACAAAAGATTTATCCCATTTTCGCGGCACTTGTCAGATCTGATTTTGTCAAATCTCAATACATTGGGTACATTTTGACATCATTTTGTTGCAGTTTTGCTCATTTTTTGACAGAAAGTTGTACTTTTTTTTCATTAATACATTTATATAAGGAGGTTTGTTTCCTTATAGACTCCACAGACGGAGTGCCCTGTGGTGTGATGTGTATTGTAACTTATCTATTAGCATTATATTTTACTCAATAGATGTATGCCAGTATAAAGTGTGTAATATTATTTTAAACTGTCAAACACCAAGCGGTCACCGGTGACCGCGACCTATTGTTCTTTAATTGTGTCTATAAAACCGGTACTCGACGAGTTAATAAACAGTATTTACTCAGCAGCCGTGTCGTATCATTCCAACGCTATACCTACAGCCCTGTCACTCATAGATTCTTGTCTATCTGAATGTATAATATTCGTTTGCGACAAGTGTGGATTGTGAATCAATTTTATATCTCTTATATTGTCATTCACACCATCATTTAACCACAAGAACTAATGACTTTATCATTACTTATGGCATTTATTGCGATGCCTACTATTCTCTACTAGGACTGGGCAGTCTGCTAACTTTGAAGGAACTCTTTTTCTATACTTACTCTTATATAAGAAGAAAGAATTATTGCATTGCTTCAGGAAAATTTGCATAATTATCTAAGCTAAATAAAACAACAACTTGTTTTACAACATTTTTATTAAATAGGTATGTAATTGAATTGATTATACAGTATTCTAAAATATATACTTAGGTACACATTAAACAATACTATTTGTACTTTTTGTACATCTATTATGTAGAGCTGACATTTTGTAACTAGAATAATTGGATGATTTACAAAACTTAAACACGACTAGGTACATAAGAAAACAATCAAAATAGTTTACAATAAAAATGCAGTTAACATAACATTCTTATTAAAATAAAGTGTAAGTGCAAGTTATCCAAGCATGGCTCTACAGCAGGTTAAGTGCCCACCTGCGTATCTTTACTTAGGTATACTATATAGCCTGTCAGTATTTATGCAGGTCAGAATCAGTGGTGTATCTACAGGCAGGCAAGTCAGCAAAATGCCACGAGCGCCCAGCTGAAGCCCAGCCTCGTTCAGAAGTTTCCATCAGTTTTTTATTCTTCTTTATTGAGAACCGGGGCCCATCCGATGAATATGCCACGGGCCCCGAAAGGTGTAGTTACGCCACTGGCTATATTCTAAGATTTCGACAGTAACGAAAAAGCTGCCCCCGATTATGAAAAATCCAGAACTTTTGGTCGTACATAAGTAGTCTCTAAACTTCGGAAATAAGGTCTATAATGGAGTAAGTGGAGAGCGGTGATTGCTTGGGGACTGGGCAGTTTGAAAATAAAATCGGTAATTAATTGGGAAATCTTTAACACATTGAGTGATATGGGGGACAACGTATAGGCCACGGTTGTCTGTCAGAATTCAAAGTCCTATTTAGTTACAATAATTTGTGCAAAATTAAAGTATTTGAGGTAGATATTGCATCAATTTTAATTAAACTGTCAAACACCAAGCGGTCACCGGTGATCGCAACCTATTGTTCTTTAATTGTGTCTATAAATACGGTACTCGACGAGTTAATTAACAATTTTAGGGATACAGAGCTGATACATTTATTTATTTTCGTGGATATTCTACACAAGCGACGGTCGTTTAAGGCTGACTATAGGAGCTGCGAAGTTGGGGATTGCTGGAGACACGCCATCGTTGGCTCCATTCGTCGTCAGTGGTGCTTCGGGCAGGGCAAAGCGACACTGTAAAACAGTAACCACAACCAAAACAGGTATGAATTAGACACAAACATTACGGTTCGTCGTAACGTCTTATGATTGAGATGATCCATGGGGATTATGTACATATACGTATCATTCAATGATATAAATCATGATGTTTTATTCAAATACTTACCACGTAATTATATAACCCTAAATTAGAACATTAAGAAATGGTCTTTATAAAGTTTATTTTATAAAGATGAACAAATTAGACACAATTTAATGTCAACACACCACACAATAAAGCGGGAAATTTTTGGACACAGATTATACAATGTATCTTCAGGAGTTTCGTCTCAGGGAAACGATCAAGGAGATTGGAGATAAGAAGTACTCTCTGGTCTCTATATATAAAGTGTCCATTTAAATTTGTTAATAGATATCGCACAGTAGCAAAAGGGAGTATTCCTGTCAGCACCTGACAACGTTTTTCATATGCTAATATGAACTAAATGTGCCTAAACTAAATAATAAAAGCTATAAATAGTTTTAATAAGTCACACTTAGAAGTTCAATTGTTGAAAGAAGTACCTAGGTAGGTAATTAAAGTTATCTAGAGTCATTTTGCTACAGTAGTGCCACCTAATGAAGGCAATAAAATGAACACTTTTCCTTAAGATCGTACTTCTGATCTCTTGACCCCTGGGAAGTTGTGGCAGAAAGACACAGATGATGAAGTTACCATCACACTACACACCACACCGTGTACCTTAGAAGAAGAGGGGTGTGCCACACTGCTTTAGCTACAGACAAACATTTTATTGGTTAACAATATCACTGTCATATTGGGCCTAAAACGCATTAAAATCTACAGTATCAATTTTTAGTGTATCATGGTAAGGTTTAAGTAACCCAATAGTTACAGTGTAATATGATTTTATGTAAAATCTAGCGATTCTTTTAGATAATGTCTCCTCCCTTTTTGAAGTTGATCTCGTTTTCGTTCTTTGTTGTGTTTCTTCATTCAAGTGTCATTTTATTTGTATTTTGTTATTTAAGTATTTGTTCGTTTTTACAGTTGGTACTTTGATTATAGTGTTTGACGAGAGCAAACCATATTAAACTACAACACAATGGTTCTATGCAATCATCAATGTAATTTGTTCTATAATAGTATCGCTATTTATCAACGGTGAATGTTTGTTTTGTAAGTAATAAGAAAACGAATTCAATATGATTTTCTTTATTTCCAACAATGATAACACGTATATTTTATAATCATGATTTATAAATATTGGTACCTATATGTTATAAACACAATTTTACAAGTCGTGTTAAGTACGACACTACATTATTCCGTGCAGATGCTATGCGGTTATGATATTTTGGGACATTTGTTACTGAGGTAGTATGGAATGGTAAAACTTGAAGATTGTATTAAAAACACTATTTCATATTAAGTATAAATGATTAAAATTTATTCTGATTTAACGTTAATGAAATTCGTTTAAAAAACATCACACAAAAGGTACAAACACAATCGCATACCATTTGGACAGAAGCACAAAAATGCGTTAAAGATATTATTAATGAAACTGCTTTCAAGCCACAATCTCATAGTCGAACTAGGTTAGTTATACCCTACGGCTTCCTCGCGCAAGTAACTGACGAGATAACTCGACCAGTTTCAAGCCACACTGGGGGCCCATAATTATGAACAGCACTGTGTGACGTAAACGTCGTCTTGTGTAATATTTTTTTTGATTTCACAAGTTATAACACAAAAAAAAACAAATACCTTGATAAAGTTCAAAAAAATATCAAAATATATAAACATGCGCTTGAATACAGTTTCAATAACAATAAAAATACAATAGATATTAACATAATTCATACATGAAAGGTTACAGTAACACAAGTTAGACGATCACAATATGGTTAGACGTAACGAGTTAAGCTAAGGCCGGCAGCTCACGTAAGCTAAGCTAATAGATATTGTTAATAAGACACTCGAGATGATGAGGATGAGATTAGAAATGGACTACAGGTATATAAATTCGTAGAAATGACGTAATTTATAAAATTTTGAGTTCAAAGACATGGATGAAGATTTATTAGGAGAAGTCGAGGTTGCATATTTTGAAACCAGATGACACTGATCGCTTAAAGAAAAGCACCTGCACTTTCCATGGATAAAAGTCATTTGTTGGAATGATTTAAGAAGAGTAGAAAAGACTAGAGATATTCAAGAAGAGAATCACATACTAGAAACGTATAAAACAGAAGGACGTCTCAAGAAAGTAGAAAAAGAAGTAAATTTGGAAATCGTTGGTCTATTTAAAGAAATACCAACGTGATTGGACATAGGTGATGAAGTGTGAGCTGCGGCTTCATGACAATGTATATAAAATTGTACAATTGAAAAAGCTTCCACAGTAAATTCTACTTAGTTAGGTAATAAGGTAAGATTTGAAAAATATTATGAACTAGGAATGTGAATGCCAGAATTTTCTAAAAGACTTTGAATAATTCATTTATAACCTATACATTAAATGTTTAGTTTATTCAATACTTCAATATCATTTCATCATATACAGTAAATGCAATATGTCATGGCAGTTTATTAACTTAACTTTCCTAAAATGTCTTTTCTTCTATCAAAAATTTTCGTCAATTTGGGGTACCATTAGCAAGATTAAACATTTCGCTAGCTACATCATCTTCTTCATCATCTGACGTGTCATTCATCCACATTCATAGTTCACAAATCTATTTAATTTCTATAAATTCAAGAGCAGCAGATCATTCTATAAAACAATGCGATGGCACTTTCAATCTTTCATTTTCGCCTAGTTATCACAAGGGGTAAACTATAGGGTCTATCCTTATTTTAAACATTTTTATTTATAGGCACTGCAGCCCTGGTTTTACGTATTTATATATAAAAACAATAATTATTGGTTAGTATACAGTCTAAGTTTGACTTTAGTATATATGAATGTTTGTTTGTTCATCCACTGTCCTGTCTGTGGATGTTGTTTATCTCCGAGCTGACATACCGTCCTGCAATTATATTTATTTTGATTAGTCACTTGAACCACACATTATGTCTCAGTTTCGAGTGGGTTATCAGTCGGTTGCATGCACATATGCATTGCAAGCATGCAAGTGATCTAATAATTAAACATCTCATTTTGCTTCAGTAGGCAAAATTGCATGTCTTTTTTGCGATTGCATTTAGCGAAATATTACTGCAAACTTGTGAATCATACAAGTGAACAGGTTAATTACAAGCATGCATTTGTTATTACTAAACATATAATGTTAGTTCCTGAATATCTGTGTACAATAGTGCAAGAACAAATTGAGTTACACTTCATGTGACTATTTACAATGTTTATTTATTGGGTAAGCATTATGTATGCAGCTGGGTGAATGATTTTTTACAATGGTTTTGTGTGTATCTGTATCACTTCAGGACATAATAACTAACTTATAAACCTAAGACAATATTGAAAGTCGAAATTGAAGTATTCCATATAAGTGTCATAAGACCTAACATTTTGAATCTATGAACCCCAAGCAAGTGCAAGCCCGACAGATGCAGTTGATAAATAGGCAGGTAGAACTAGAGAAGGAATGTTTGTGAAGTTATTTTACCTTGAAGATGTTGGTGAGTTCGTCGAGCAGGGTCTCATGGCGGAAGGAGATGCGAATGTCTGGTACGTTGGTGCGCGTGATGTCGTTGCCGGCCACTCCCTCCTTCATGTAGTTGGGGCCAAGCCAGTACTGCTTCATCTGATAAGAGATTTAAGTTGAGTAGGACCTAAAATAGTACCTTGAGGAGACCCATTTTTTTAAGGGTGGAAAATCATCGAATGACTGCTCCCGCCTGGGTGAGGCGGGAAGGAGTATCAGACTCTTACTGACTAAAAACCACCCCGTTCCTTCTCCTGCACGTCGAGCCGGAGCCCCGGTTACCCGTTAGGTTCTCCGCGACTCCGAATCGGCATCGGCCCTATTGGGACCCATCTGTGGTGGTCTGATGGCTCTTTGAGGCGCGCGCGGAACGCTCGGGTCTGTTTCTGGTCGGGCGGCGAGTCACCCATGCTCGCCGTCCGCAGTCCCGCGCTTACGGTGGCCGGAGATCGTTGAGGAAACCCATAGCTACTACCTACTTAGCTGACTTAAAATTCTACTCACCTCATGCGGGAACCCGGACATGAGCACGGAGTTCCTGGCGAGCTCACACATGTCGCAGGAGCTGAGCTTCCACACCTGCGCCGCGATACTGTACTCCTCCATCAGCGGCTCCTGGAGACCGGGGAATGTGGTTCAGATAAATAATTCCAGTTCAACTGTCCAGAAACTGATCAAATGTACTGTAATTACTAGACGTAGCTCAGAAGCCCCGTGTTTTTTTTTTAATTTCATTCAGTAAAATTAAAAAGCATTCATACCTTGGTGAAGTGGAACTGCAACGGATCATCAGTACTGAGCGTGATGCAGAGCCCTCGAGCCAGGAACTCCGGCAGAGGGTTGCGGTGGTAGTTCAGGAACAACGAGTTGTTGCTGAGCGGAGACATGGCGATGTAGATTTGGGCCAGGTAGTACAGGTACTGGAGGACTGGGACCTGGGGAGAATTAAAGCTATCGTCAAACCGCGTGCCCAGGGTGAAGATTAAATAGTAAACCCCTCTTTTGTAGTGGAGGCCTGGAGGAAGAGTTCAGTATGGACTGTTGATGTTGATTTTTTTTTATATTTGATGTGGCGACGTTTGACCACTATCGCGCCTGGTGGTAAGCGATGATGCGGTCTACGATGGAGCACGTCGTCCCATAAGCAACCTATTCACTCGAGCCTTGGAGACTCTAAGGTTATAACCTTCAGGAAATACAGACTCTGGGAAAGAATTCCATTCTTTAGCAGTACACACAAGGATGCTTGAAGCGAAGCGCTTCGTGCTGATGATTATAGAGCGCAGGTCTCAAAAAGATAAGTGAAGTTGTAAATCATCTAAGGTTACCTTTCTAAGCAGAAGTCCGTGGGAGATGTTCTCAGCGAGCAGGAAGCCGCAGACGAGATGCTGCACGGGACCTGCCTCACCGCAGTGAGGGCGTAGCACGAACGTGTTCAAACCTTGCTCCCTGATGACGGAGAAACCAGTTTTATTAAACGAATAAGTCGTTAGTCGAGCTAGCAGATATGCAGTAAATAAACATGCAGGCTAAAAATAATTGAATTGTAAAAGACTCTAAATTCAAGCGCAACGCAATTTCAAAGCACTCGCATCTTCTTATAGATTTCGAACTTGTTTTATTTCCATTAAAAATACATCGTGATGTTGAGTAATGGTTCCGAAAATAGAACCAAAACTGTTTTATGAAGTAGGTAAGAATCTGAGCCTTCTTCATCTTACCCCGACGGAAGAGACCTTTTAATATTATCTCAATCGACTTTAAAAAGGAAATGGATGTGCAACAATATACTTACTTCCTGAAGTGGTTGAGCACAGTCATGTTGGCGTACATGTAGTAGAGATAGTACGCGTACGGCGGGTTCTCCTCGTCATCATACTCCTCGGGACTCTTGGCGTCAGCGTCCAGCATTGGGTTCTCTGGCTTCGACTCGTCGTCCACGCTGTCGAAGCCCACTACGTGCTGCAAGATACAGATTCGTTATTAGCTTTCCAATGTCAATATTTGTCAATGATGCTTTGAATAGAATAGATGCTTAAAATGCGGATCTTGTAAATTGGAATTTCTTTAAAATTGTTTGGGCAGTAATTTAAAATTTATTACGCAGGAGTCAGCATTAGAACCATCACAGGTAGAAAATATGGGTAAGTTAGTTTATTGTTAATGAAAACTCACAGTAAGAAACTTGTGCAGTTCGTAGTTACTGTTGGGGTCCCTGGTGACCTCGAACAGCGGCTGGAAGATGTTGCTCAGGAACTCTTGGAAGTTCGTCATGATCTTGTTCGACTTGAAGATATCGCTGGAATACACAACATTATGTTTAGTACACAGTAGAACACATAGTAAGCAATCATGAATCTGGTTCTGATTCAAGATATTTCTTTGTTGTGTCATGTGGTGATGGCAGAGAGAATACGTTCATTGAAATCCCTGCTTCTCGAGGATATCGTAAGTGCCGACTACTGACTACACATTTTTTTTTATGGCACAAGCCGGTAACAAACGATCAGACGGGTCACCTGATGGCAAGCAATCGGCGTCGCCCATGGACACCTGGAATACCAAAGGCATTACAAGTGCGTTACCGGCCTTTTGGGGATTAGGAGTTTAAGGATCGTTGGGGATTCAGGAATTGGGGAGATTGGGGAAGGGGAGGGTAATTGGGCCTCCGGTAACCTCACTAACACGACGAAACACAACGCAAGCGTTGCTTCACGTCGGTTTTCTGTGAGGCCGTGGTATCACTTTGATTCTTTGATTGACACATTGAACACAGATTGCGCAGCAGCCCTCACTAATGAACCTGATCTTTTTAAACTGGCATCTGTAACCAGCTCGTCAAGCGTGAATATTGTAGCAAACCCTGTTTTCGAGAAAAACCCCATAGTCCGGCAATGGGATAAAAGAAAATCATTAACATTTTAACTGAAAAGAAACTCTCTGGTACACCAAATAAAGAACAAAATGAGTTACTAACTATAGTCGCGGTATCTGTATGAGCCAGCGCACGTTGTCGGAGTAGACGTTGTACTGAATGGCCCACTTGGCCAGCTTGGCCCACTCGCCCGGACTCTTGCCGTAGATCGACAGACGCAGCTCCGCGTTCTGGTACTTGGACTCTTCGAGATCTGATGCTACTTCCTGGAGAAGGGAAAATTGTGTTTAGTTTAAGCAGTTTACTTAATTAAAGAATATCAATTTATTTAGAAAGAAAGAAGAAAGAAAGAAAAAACATTTATTCAGCACCCGGCACGATGCAGCATAAATAAAATATAAAAAAGATAATAAAGGTGTGACAGTGGAATAAATAAAAACATAAGAGTTGAAAAATTAAAACAGAAGAATTAGAAGAGAGACGCTGACAACATGCCTATGCTAAAAAAGTCACCCACTCAGTGTAAGCCAGGGATACAAGTTACCCAGCACTGATTTTCAGTGGGCAATTTGAGTTGAAGTTTTCTTTTCTGTCATGCAGCGTGTCTTTGCAAGACTTCATCTGATCTTTGTAGTACCGTCTAGTAGTTCCTACTAACTTTTTGCTAAGCTAAGCATCAGATTTACATATACCTATAGGTATTGATGAACAGAGTGAAAGAATAAAGTCTTTTATAGAAATAAGTCGACAGAGGGCGCGTTGGGCTCGCAGCGCAAGTGGCAACACCGAAGCGAGCGTCAACGCCAGCCAGTGAGCTGCGCGACGTCGCCGCGACCGCGCACGCTGCTCATGAGGAAGAACCCCTCTGTGGTTCGAAACTAGTAGAGCTTTTCTCAGTATATTCACGTAAGTAACCCGCGATTTTACTTAATTTAGTAAGTAAATGATAAAAGTTTCTGCAGATCTAATAATGAAAACTTTGACGAAGTCAGGGACCCTTACCTTGATGATCCTAGCGAAGTACTTCCCGTTCATGTAGTTGTCAGTCTTGAGAAAGACCTCGCGCAGTCTGCTCTCGCCGATGGGGTTGTACTTGGCGTTGAACTTGTCGAAGCGGTGGAACGTGTTGCGGTCCTGCAATATTAAATGGCAATGATAAATATTTTTGCAAAGTAATCAATTTCAAAAATGTAGCAATTTTTACTACATTGCAGGTACTTTTAAACACTGCAATAAGTGAGTAGCTAGATCTTCAAGATACTTTAGGGAACAGAGAGTATAGTTCCCTAAGATCGGAAAAGGAGGATCCTCTGACCAGGCGAGGTGATCGTGTCTGGCGGGCTTTCTGCCCAACAGGTGTTTGTTGGGATTTTCTATCCGTGTTAATTTGCATGTAAACTTTGCATGTGCGATGTAGGATTTTTATGACGTCATCCGTTTACATCTGACATGTGTCGCCACAATACCATATTGATTAACAAAGGGCGTGTTATTAGGAATAGGGAATTAAACAAAAAATTGTCTTGACCAAAATCAACCGCAAAAATCATAATTTTGCTTTAAAAGCTCAAGTACTTACGGCATGCACGTCCAACATATCCACAGTGAGGTCGTAGGTGCTGAGGTTCATAGACTGGAACACTGACTTCAGCGTCATCGGGGTGCCCTTGTGGAGAGTCACCACCTGGAAAATATCACAATTTAATAAAATGTAGAATAGGTTGGTAGACGATGTATGAAAATTAAAAATGTATTTAGTCCGTAAAATATTAGACACATGTTTTTATTTTGTCGTGTAAGAAAACAATACTTAGATAAAAATGAGGTAAGTTTAGGAGTGGGACGTCGTTACGTCACGCTACCCTATAAAATGTAGTATATCGTGACGTCACACGATATTTCAATTCAATATATTATCGTCGAAAGTACGTGTCTAATGTTTTAAAATAATCTGCGAGACGGACATTAAAATAAACTTTAGGATCCTACCCTATTGAAAACAACTGTTTTATTAAGGTTGCTAAAGCCGCTAAAGGCATCGTTGATCTGATTGGACAGTATTCCTTTGTCATCTATGCCGATAAACAAGACTTCAAACTATGCGATAAAAACTGGCTCCTGTTTTTAATCAAATACAAACCTCATCAGCATGGTTCTTCAGGGTCTTCTTGATGAAGCGCAAAAGATGTTTCTGGTTCATGCAGGATGCTGCGTGGATGTGAGTGTCCACTTTTCTGGAAGATAGAAGATAGACAATGATGTATTTTACTATATGTCCCATTTGATGTTATTCTAGTCGCCAAGAGCCAAGGGTTAATTTCTCTGTTAATTTTGCACACTGCCAACGCTATTGTGTGATGAATATTATGATGATTGTGTCACCTAATGTTGTAGAAGTCCCGGTGAGGCACGGCCTTCTGCGAGGCGAGCTCCCGGAGCTCGTTGAGGAGCACGTGCAGCTGGAACTTGGACGACAGGTACGACAGGCGACGGTAGCAGAACGATTTGCTGGGAAGAGGATAGATAGGATTTGTTATTCTGTTTTTTCCGTACTATATAAACTTCGACTATTTTAGCTTTCAACATGTCTCTTAGCTTTCAACTGTCAGCCACTGGGCTATGTTTCGTTTAGCTATTTAAATGAAAAGTTCACATGTGTTTCACCAAACGAAGTTCTAGTTCTTTACAAAGACTCACAGTGGTCCATCGGACATCATGTTGCACATGGTGTTCTTGTCCTGTATGAACTGCTGCAGCGTGATGTACTCGTACGGCAGCCGCTCCTCCTGTCCGTTGGCGCCCTTCTTGTACAGGTTGAACACGCCCTTGTCCGGCTTGATCACGTAGTCCTTCGGCTCAGGGTTGGGGCACTCCCATGGATCTTTGCCCGCCCTGAATGGTGGGTGGACAATATGATCTGGAAGTAAAAGACAATAATTTAAGTTTAAAGTCGATGGATCTTAGGAATAAGTAACTAAAACGGTAAATGAAAATTAATTGAACACATGACTTGAAACAGTTTCTTAGATTTATTTTATTACCAGCGATGTGTTTCTGCACATGCACGCTGGGCACGTAGGCGGGCGCGTTGGCGTCAGTGCTGCGCACGAAGCGCGCCGTGATGGTGGCATAGCTCTGCTGCGACATCTCCATGTAACGCTTGCGCATCTCCAGCGCCTGCACCAGGTACGAGGATGCTTGCTGGAGATCTTCTAGTGGGACCTGAGGGGCACATGTAATTGTAGACCATGTTCATCATAAAAATACTAAATTCTACGTTGTTCTCTAATTGTTCGTAATCATGGTAATCATGCTTAACATGCATTTGAAATCTTATCTTCTTTCGGACGTTATTTAAACAAAAGGTTACTTAAAGCGATTTTGACAGTTCATAGACATGTTAAATTCTTCTCTTTTTATAAATTTTCTAAAATTCTCTTCTCGTCACTTACTCCAGAAGTATCCTCTCCACTGATGGCGACTCTCTGGAAGTGTGGCAGCACGAAGTCGGTCTCGTCATCATCAGCGGACCGCAGCCTCTCGTCGAACACGGCACCAGCTCCACCCGCCTCGCTGCCACCGAACGAACGTACTGACTGTCCGCATTCTGCTGCCCTGTAGACAACGGAGAAAAAAAATGTGAACTGAAATAATCGTCATCAACAGTCTACGACGAAGAGACCTACTATGACACACTATAGAAACCTAGAAGAGGTAATAAAGACTAAAGAGATTAAGTTTTAAACACCTAGAGAGCCTTTTGTGAAAGTGTGGCACAGAAAGATTTGCTAGCACTATGCACCTGTATCCTACACGGCTAGCAACAAAGAACATCGCAAAGAAGAGTATCAGCTGGTTTCAATAGTATACCTCTACTGGCACTGGTGTCATAAAGCCTTTGAATATCAGTCCTTATTTTGAGCCAAACTGGAGCAATGTATTTACTTTGATATCCATCAAAAGTCGACATAGCAGTAGCTACAGGCATAATGATTGATTGCAAATAGATGAGACAATACGCCGCGCGCCGCAAACCGCTATTGTGTTCACAGTAATTGTCCAAATACGCAAATATTAGTACAGACAGACATTATTACCATTTGGCATTCTGCTAATTACATTTGTGTTAGTTAATTACGGTTCTATTACGAGTATTAGGTAATTGAGTTCTGTAGGATGCTTCGTTTATTAGGTACCTAAAATAATAAACAGTATTAGTATCCCTATTATCCAAAAGTATGATATGAGTAATTAAATATTTTTTCATGACATATTTGTAATCCATTCAATAGATAATACAATATAAAATACAAAGATCGAAATTTGAATTTAGAATCAATTTAAGTCCACTTCACAAAATCGTTAATAATAATAGATAAGATTATGATGTAAGGATTGACGCCTGACCAGAATAAACCCGAAACACAGCGACCTGTGAAGCAGACAACAAAGATGGCGAGGACGAATTAATTTAATCGGATGCAGTTCCTTTAATCAAGTCCTTTTGCGATATCTGAAGAGCAACATTCCAACAACAGCCGTTTGATGATTTGATAGCTAATATTTTATTTGACACCCTCACTTAAAGGAAGTAGTGGGTGTCTCAGATAACAGCTAAGCTAATTCATTAGAAAAATAACTGTCGGACATCAGCCGTAATTTGATACCTGTCTATAAATTGTAGTTACGATATCTGTGTATGGTCACTAAGATGGAGAAAAGGTAAATGTTCCTACTTAAATAGTGCCCTTAAGCTTAGGTCGCCGCTTAAGCTTAAGAAATGGTTCTGCATAGGCACCGTATGGAAGATGATGGTACTCTCAAAACTAAGTTTGGCTTCGCTAGTCGTCTTCGAGCTCATGCTAACCTGGATCTAGATGATGATTTTTCCTTTTATAAAAACTAGGTAATAATACAAAACAATAAGTAATCTAATGAGTTGCTTACCACAATTATTCGATTGAAAAGAAATATAAATTAAATAGGTCTGTTAGTAGGAACTTTGCGTGAATCATCCATTTCATAGTATGCTAAAGAAGTAAAGAATAAAGGTAAAGAAACGAACAACAAAAAGATAAAGTACCTGATACAGAGTACTTAGGAATAGATTTAGCTCTATTGAAAATTGTAGGCAATAACGTAAAACATTATACCTATGTTTGAAAGAATTATGTTAGCTCTTACGATAGCTTTCAATTTTTCCATAACTTAAAAAAATCTCAGTTTTCGTAAACTGAAAATAAATGTTGCTATTTCAACACCGGATGTTTTAATACAACACTCGCGCTGCGAATTGGAATTCGAAGCCAACGAATTATGCAAAACTTCGGATATCCGTTTTCCAAGAGCCCTCGTATTCGGGAAACTAATTTAAATCTCCGCCATTTCTGTCAGCGCTATAAAAAGTTCACTTTACCTACCTTGAATTTCTGATCGACGTCCATTTTTGGCATTCAATTTTGCTTCCAAACATAATAAAACTAACACCACAGACAATTTAAACACAACCCACACAGAACCAAAAAACAAATCAAATCTCCCGCCAAAAGTAACAAGTTTTTGAATAAGCCAGGGGATGGCAATGGAACGGCCGCGTTCAGCCAGCGACACGCGTTGCAATGCAATCAAATTACAAATGCCGCGGCATCCCTCACGGTAAGGGTTACTGTCGCTTCAAGGTTAATCCAATTACTTCCCACTAATAATATCGAGTCTCAGCGGCATATCGTGCTCGTGTAAACGTGGCGGCCGCAAAAAGAGGTTTATAGATGGTTTAAAGAGGAGCTTAGGCTCCGAGAATATTTATAGACTGGAGGTGGCAAGACTTACCACTAATGCCTCTTGAACACAATGGCGGCAGTTAACACCGCTCTTATACGGCCAGAGGAACGTTTACGTGACATATAAACGCGAAGATGATGGTGGTATCAAAGAGATGACTCAGGTTTGATTGAGTAGATTACGACACGCAATTATTGGTTATTGCGTTAGGCACATTAGATGACCTAGTAATCTAATGGCTAGGCAAACATTATCAAAGCTTAACTATTCTAGGCTGCTAGGATCTAAGATCAAAGGCGCAATTGCAACCTAAGTGCATCTTCAACAACTTTATCAAGCACACATTATTTGACACACTAAACCAACGAGCAACACGTGTCTGCAGTTTGCTGTGGAATATGATAGCCTGTCCTACTCCTAAAACATAGCTACACACAATCTATTACATCTGTTTAATCTAGAGCAGACTAGGCTAATAAAAGTCATGAGAAGGCGAGGCAATGTTTACGACTAGATATCAATTGAGTCGAGACAGTGGACCTACATCGATTAACATAACTGCTTATTGTTAGGTAATCACGTTTAGATCTGTGTTTACTTCGCTCGGTCCCTATTGTCGTACAAGTCGCAGAAAATGAAACTGACCACAAACTTTATAGACTTTTAACTTTATTACGTACCAAAATCAACGTAACAGTTAATAAACAGGTGTCTGATTTCGAGGATAACCAGTTGTACCTTTGTAGCTTTTTCAAAAATGAATATACTTATCTATATTATTTTTTTCTTTAATAGTGTTTATCAAAAACACGAAGTTTGTATTAAAAAATATATCCATTTTAAAATCACTTCCCTAACTTAGTTACATAAAAAACATTGTTACTATCCACTGTAATTACGCAAATAAGATAACGAGAGGTCATAGTTCAAGCTTTGAAATTCATTTATTTCATAAATCTGATGTAATGCGAACACCATTTTTAAAACCTTAACAATAAGGCGTCAGAGGTTTGATAAGAACTTATAAATAAATAGTTCATTGAGTCTTCTGAGTGAAAAATTGGAGACGTGCAGACCAAAAAATTTAAAGTGAGAAGTAAATTATAATATTGGGCCTCCAGTCCAAGCTCAAAGAGCCATCAGACCACCACGGATGGGGCCCAATAGTTGATTCCGATACGGAGCCGCGGAGAACTTAACGGGTAACCGGGGCTCCGGCTCGACGTGTAGGAGAAGGAACGGGGTGGTTTTTAGTCAGTAAGAGTCTGACACTCCCTTCCGCCTCACCCAGCCGGGAGCAGTCATTCGATGATTTTCCCCCCGAAAGAAAAAGTCTAAGCTGTAACAGGCGCAAATCCAGACTGAATTAAAATAGTTCATCACCATCAGAATCAGCCACAAGTCGTCCATCAGGCACTTAAATATGAGCCAAATACAACTAGAACGGCTAGTTCGCACTTAGACATCCATCTACCGCCTCGTGTTCTAAAAGTTACAACAATACGAGACGGAACAAACAAAAACAATTGAATAATGATTGAATAGAATGTTTGGAACCAAATCGGAGCCGTGTCTAAAATGTATCACGTGGCACATACGGCCCTGACTCGGTCGAAGGCCACGCAAATTGAATTACACAAATACAGGCCCTGTTTTAAGTAAGCCATTCTGCTTTGAAACTTTGAAGAAAGGTGCTTTTCACAATGCCTTGCTACTGGTATAGCTTTTAACTAGGTTCAGTTGATTTTGAATTAAATCGTTTTCTGATGGAGTATGGTTCGAGCCCTGGAGTCTTCCAAAGTATTATTGTCCTCTTTAATTTGTTTTAAGTCCGAGTTCGACATAACTAACATATAACATCATGCCTTTAATCCCCGAAGGGGTAGATAGAGGTGCATATTACGGCACTTAATATTACTGTACCATGTAACACCCACTTTTCATTCTTCTTTCTTTCTTTTTCTTTTCTTATTCTTACATTAAACTGTGCCTGTCCCGTTGGACTGCCGCCTCATCGGATTATGAGAGAGAGGGATTAGAAAATTAATATCTATTTGCGCACACATTAAATGTATTACTATTTATCTACTACGCGGCTAGACACTATAACTATGAGTTATAAGTACAAAGACGTGAAGATCAATTCTAAAACTTTACAATTAGAAAAAGAACTTCATTCTATTACATATATCTATCATTGTAGGAACTATTGGTGTAATACTGTAAATAGATTTTTGTAAAAAAAAAGATAGATTGGCTGGCGTCCGTCTATACGTCCAAACTATCTGGAAGTGGTAATAAACAGCTCCTAGTAATAATGAGTGGCGTCTCTCAACGGCAGGCACTCCAATGCAGCGCGCTGAAGTAAACAGTTACTCGACACTAAGCCGCCTCGCCTCCGACTCAACACCTCTATTTACTGCAGACTCGACTAATGGAACTTGAGTACGTTTGTACTTATGTACCATTTACTATCGAATAAGAAACCCTTTGATACCCTTTGATACTATACGTATTTTTACAAGGGCCGTGTAGGGCTGATCGTTGTCACATTTAGAAGACCCGAGACTGGCGGGCATTACGCCAATATTCGTTAAAACTGGGTACTTACTTAAAAACATAATTTTTAAAAACGTTCTATTTTTGACAGAATCGATGAACAAATAAAAAAAAAACAAACATTCGAACATGGAACCTCCTCCTTTTTTTCAAGCCCAGGGAATGGACAAGAGACTTGTATGAGACGTCTATACGAATTAAGAAGGAATTCGATTGGTAGATAAGATTTTCTTGACGTCAAGTATTCTGGGAATCATGATATGTCTAAAATATGATTTATTATACGCTTTATTCATGTTATATGTAAATGGAGGTGAACAATGACCGATACAAAGTTGATATGATCAATCAATAACTTTGATAGCGCTATTTTAGTTCTCCTTTTGATGAAATAGCTGTTTATTGAAAATCTAAAAATATTCTCACCAATTTTAGCTCATATCTACATCTCTCGAAATACCTTGCAGGCATTCATTTTCGAAAAAAGTGATAAGTTAAAGCCCGTCAGGCAGGATCACCTCGCCTGGTCGGAGAATCCTCCTTTTGAAACTATACTCTCTGTTCTCTAAAACTGCAACAGTCTACTCATAAAAAGAACTTGACTTACTTGACATTCAACTGCCTTTGTATGAGCAGCTTCTTCTCAATCTGCTCTATGGGGAACTGTGGCACCTCGTACGGGGCTGACAGCTCATTGGGGAGCTCCCGGGGCGCCTCCGCACCCACTGCACTTGTAGGGCTTTCGCTCCCTGGGAACAATAAAGAAGAATATTGTTAAAAAGGTAAAAAAGATAAATAAATGAGACTTAAATAATGTCCCAACCACCCCTAAATCATCTCTTAACGACGAATTTCTTACTGACGTGGCACCTAACCTAACATATTGACTTAAATGATTTTGAGTTTGGATTCTTTTTACTTTCTTATTGTCAAAATCAGAAGGCACTTTTGAACGTCAACAAACAATTTAAATGTCAATTTATTTGCTCATTCCAAGGTGTAGATTCCTATGGAGAAGAACGAGTAAGAAACTCCATAGGTTACTCTTTATCAATCAGGTTCACAATACAATTCTCTAGTTACCTACATAGTCTAGTTTGGTTCGATTGTGCGAGAATTGTACCTACTGTTAGATGTCACTTATAGGTTGATGAAAACCAACTTCTTGACTTAACTCCTTCAAATTTAGAAGAGGTTGGGGAAATTAGGCTCACACGAAGCTTATTTGTAAATAATTTCTAGATTTTAAAAGCTAATTATAGTGGTGTTTTGACCTTACAACTCTTTTTGTTAAAACCCAGAATACACTAAGATACAAATGTCCTGCGACACGTGTCGTCAGCGACGTTGGGTGAAGTAGCGCGACGTTGGAGGATTTTAGTCGACGTTTCGACAATGTCTGGCTACACATCTACGACACTGTGAATATAAGTGGCACGTCACCATATAAGCTAGGCGACATCGGCCGGCTTTGCTCGACATGTCATCGATACATGTCGTGGAACATTTGTGTGTATCCTTGGCTTAACGAATTCTTGTAACTCGGTGTTAATCTACACTTGTTCTAAAAATCTCTTCTTAAGTTTTAATCCATCTTGCAAAAGTTTTACAAGTGCTTGCTATGAACATCGTTAAAGTAAGCCCCAGAAATATAAACATTATTGATGAAATTAATGAACTTACTTCAAAGTTAAATAAATTTAACAAACTCTGTGTACCTACTAGTTTACGAAGATGGAGCACCAACTCCTCGTCAATTTTAATATAATCAATGGCGTCTATTTTAAAAACTGCGCGAAGTGAAAACTCAATTAAAAACACTTTAACAGGATTATTCGAAGGAGGAATAATGTAATATTAAACAGAAGTCGATACTAAAGTTATAAACGGGAACTTATTGGTACATAAATAAAATGGCGGGTCGTGCCAAAATCAATGGGCGGAAGAATTTTATTGAGTCACTGCGCGTACACCAAGAGCCGTTAGTTTCTTAGATTGTGATAAAAACCGATTCCAGTATCTTATTGATCTATTCATAGATAATTTATAGACTAGTTTTTTAAAATTGAACAGAAGTTAACATAACATAGCATCACGCCGTTTTATCCCCGAAGAGGTATGCACACATTACGGCACTTAATGCCACTGTACAATGTAACACCCACTTTTCATGAGTCCCATGTAATAAAGGGTGAGCCTATTGCCATATACCGGACACCATTCCAGACGCCGTGCTACTACTGAGATTTATTTTAAAAACGCAGTAATATTTTTCCCGACGTGGGAATCGAACCCAAGACCCCTTGTCCGGCAGTCGCACTTGCGACCACTCGGCCAACGAGGCAGTCAACAGGAGTTAACTTCAAGCATAAAAGCATCCATCCAGATGCATGACAGATTCTTACAAAGAAACCCAAGATGGAACTATTCATCTCTCTGTCTTATCTCATTATATGTACTCTTTTAACCAAACACAAATTAGCTTTTCTACACAGGGATAATCGTATCCTATTAGCATTTTATATAATTTAAGTTTCCAGTTATTAAATGTATGTACATATAATAAGTCAAAAGAAAGCATTGAATTATCCTAATTTTTATCTTCCACTAAATCTGTTGTTATTGGCTTTTAAATGGACATAACAACTGTCATAGAATTAATACGATGCGACAGAGGTGTTTACGGCTTTCTGACCTGACCCCTTCAGATTGACTTCGGCTACCGTACCTTAATCTGCCAATAATCCGTACGACCCTTATAGCTAAACCTTCTCACTAGAATCCTTACTAATATTATAAATTTGAAAGTGAGTTTGTTTGTTTGTTTGTTTGTTCCACCTTCACGCCGTAACTACTCAACTGATTGCTTTGAATTTTTGCAGACGTAAAGTTAGAAGTCCAGATTAAATAATAGGGTAACCCGGAATAAATTGATATTCCCGAGGAAAAACAAAAGTATTGGTATAGATGGCGCTGTGTGTATTGGTATATGTCACATAGGCTACTTTTTATTCTTTTGTCACGCGAGCGAAGCCGCGGGTAAAAGCTAGTCTAAAATAATTGTAACATCTAACCGTAACACGTAGCTCGGTTGAACCCCGATTATTGTAACTCCTAAAGAATTTTAACCATGAAACTATCAGTCAAACTTTATTTAAACGTAACATAACATCACGCCTTTTATCCCCGAAGGAGTAGGCAGAGGTGTACATTATGCCACTGTACAATGTAACACCCACTATTTCACTATTTATGTAATGAGACCCATGTAATAGGGGGTGAGCCTACTGCCATAAACCGGGCACAATTCCAGACTCCGTGCTACTACTGTGAATTTTTGAAAAACCCAGTAATATTTTGCCCGATCCAGGAATCGAACCCGAGACCCCTTTCCCGACAGTCGCACTTATGACCACTCGGCCAGAGAGGCAGTCTTTATTTAAACACAACCTTATTAATTGGTGATAAAGTCGAAATTATCATTTGGTAGGGATAGTTTTATGTACTGGCTTCACGTTCTTAAAGGTAACTAATAAATAAGAGCATCCTAATAGTAAGCTTATGTCTGATCCTTCCCGTTCGCAGAATCAATACATTGAAGGAGATGAAATTTTATAAGACCTCGTCTGTCGTGCTCGGACACTAGTCACTTTAATGAAGCCAATGTCATCCTATTACCAGTTACAAGTTGTGTCCTTTACTTACATACTGTGTACTTGTATCAATAAGTCGTGTTTATCTTTCTAAAAGTAGACATAAACAGATATACTTACAAAGTTACAAATACCACAAGATACTATAGCATCGCGCTATAAGTTTCAGTTTGTATTCCTGAATCAGACAAAGTAGGTAAATGGCGATATATTAAAGAAGGACCCAATTAAAAGTACCCTTAACCGACGAGCATGCATGAAAAGATTGATGACTGTTGATGAAGCGAAAGAGGTTTGTAGGAATCGTTGCAATTGGCGTTCCATAGTCTCTGCATAATCCCATTGGAGACAGGCGTGAAGTATGTATGTATGTACAACAGTTACCCAACATATGATACTAATGGAACCGTTAACATAACTAGACCAAACGTAGGTCATAGGTGCTACTTTGTATAGGTCACAGAACATATAAAGAAGGTATTCTGAACATCTCTTCAAGGATGAATGGCAAGAAAAGTGTTGTTTAAAGTTGTATCGAAACATTACACCATGGTTTGAACTTTAAATATTTACTTTAATGTTTCTAAAGCTGTAAATTGACACGTCTGTGCTGATGTTTACAAGACAGGGGTCATGAACCCGGTCCGGATCGATGACGGCAAATAATTGACCAACCTTTGTTCATTCTCAGCTAAATTATATAGGAACCTAGTGTTTGGTAGGCTGAGGGAAATCACGGCCGCGTTAATTACTCGATTAGGTTAATAGGCGTTTTTTACGCTAAGTGATGTAGGTTTGGAGGTGCTAAGTAGCAGTTGATTTCTTTGTAGGTATATCGTAATGAGGCAGTATGAACAGATCAAATTAAATAATTCTGTTGCGTTTTGTTACAAATAGACTAGACCTTTAACTCGTCGAGTACCGGTTTTATAGACACAATTAAAGAACAATAGGTCGCGGTCACCGGTGACCGCTTGGTGTTTGACAGTTTAAATAACTCTTGAGATAGGTAAGGAACGTGTAATAATTATTAATTCACTTTGTTTATCTAGGAACAACACTCCATGCCTTGGTGCGGAGCGAGGAGGCCTGGGATGCCGTCTCCTACTTCCTACTTCTGCAAAGCAGTCATGCTAGCCAAGGAGGAGGCGGCGCGCGAAGGTGAACGGGTCACCTCACGCCCCAGCCGTCGAGGGAGACACTCCGGGTGTCAGAGATCACTTGATGATCTCCGGCCACCGTAAGTGCAAAGTAAGTGCGGGTCTACAAGCTCGCTGCCCGACCAGAACCAGACCAGTCGCGTTTTACGCGTGCCTCAAAGAACCATCAGACAGGGACACAGATAGGGCCCAGTAGGTCTAATGCCGACACGGAGCCGCGGAAGGTCTAACTGGTTGCGGGGCTTCAGTTTGAAGAACAGAAGTAGGAACGGGGTGGTGTTTAGTCAGTAAGAGTCTGACACTCTCTCGCCTAACCGCCCGCCTCCCAAGGCGGGAGAAAACATTGGATGACATTACCCCCTCAAAAAAAAGAACAACATTCTAGGAACGCCGTGGCCGTTGCCCGAGGTAGTCCATCTAGAGCACCTGTGCGAATAGCACCTGAACGAATAGCACCCAGCCTAGTCCACGAAGGGCACCTATCAAAATAATTGGCAGGTGCTCTTCGTGGATTCAAATTTGTTTTATGTATTTATCCACGAAGGGCACCTACGATTCGAACCGTAGTGCTGGGATATATACATCCGTATTTGGTAAGCAGGACGTTAAATAAAAGACATATAAAAAAAATCATATGAATATTAATAATTTATATTACACAAACAGTACCTACCGTACAGCGCTGACGGCAATTTTGAAAGCCACCTGGGGTCTCTCTTTTCTAACGGCCATAATAGGTGATAGATAGGTAATAGATAAAACTACTCCTAGGCCAGCTTTTAGCCTCGATTTACAACTGAATGTCAGTGTAGAGTGGGAATCTTCTATCACGGGCCGCCACCTATATCAGTTCTTCCCATCCGTGCATGAGCGGGTGGAGGTGCATCACTGTGTTGGCCAAATTCTTCCTGG